TCGGAAGCGTCTGTCTGAAGAATGAAGGGGCAGCCAAAGTCAGGTGCGTGCAGTACCGGTGAGGATGTTAGTGCAGTCTTCAGGGCTTGAAACGCGCCATCTGCTTCTCTGCTCCATTGTATCCTCTCTGGCTGCCCCTTTCTGGTCAGGTCTGTCAAAGGGCTGGCTATGGATGAGAAATTGGGAATGAAACATCTATAGTAGCCCGCTAACCCCAGAAATGCACGTACCTGGGTCTTTGTGGTGGGTTGTGGAGTTTCTTGTAGTGCTCTGATCTTGTTCTGTTGTGGCTGTATGAGACCTCTACCGATGTGGAAACCGAGGTATTTGGCTTCTGCTAGACCCAGGTGGCATTTCTTGGGATTAGCTGTGAGCCCAGCCCTACGAAGATCAAGGAGCACCCTCCGCAACCGGGATAGATGTTCTTCCCATGACTCGGAGTGGACGATTAGGTCGTCGAGGTATGCTGCTGCATACGGCTGGTGGGGTCTCAGCAGGATGTCCATCATACGCTGGAATGTTGCTGGAGCCCCGTGGAGCCCGAAGGGAAGAACCCGGTATTGCCAGTGCCCACCGGGAGTGGAGAAGGCGGTTTTCTCCTTGGCGCTTTCACTTAGTGGTAGTTGCCAGTAGCCTTTGGTGAGGTCGATCGTGGATATGAATCGGGCTCCACCCAGCCGATCCAGCAGCTCGTCCACCCGAGGCATGGGGTACCCGTCGAATTTGGAAATTTCGTTCAGCTTCCTGAAGTCATTGCAGAAGCGGAGGGTGCCGTCGGGTTTGGGGACCATCACTATGGGGCTGGACCACGGGCTACGAGATGGTTCGATGATTCCCAATTTCCTCATCTTTTGGATCTCATCGTTGATAGCCAGCCGGCGAGCTTCTGGTACTCGATAAGGCCTCTGCCGGACGATGGTGCCAGGTGGGGTGATGATGTCGTGCTGGATGATGGTGGTTCGGCCCGGTTTCTCTGAGAACACATCCCTGAACTGACCGACCAAGGCTTGCAGCTCCGCCTTCTGATTCGGTGAGAGTTGCTCACCTATATGGACAACGGGAGAAGTTTCTTCTGAGAAGGCAACTAGATGACCTGGAGCTGCAACCCATTTCTTCATCAAATTGATGTGGTAAAGTTGTTCTTCTCTTCTTCGTCCCGGCTGACGGACTCGATAGTTTACCGGCCCTACCCTTTCTACCACTGTATATGGCCCCTTCCAAGAGGCCAAGAACTTCGAGGTGGTGGTAGGTATCAGGATCATTACTTTGTCCCCTGGTTGGAACTCTCTGGGTTGGGCGGGCCGGTTATATAATCGCTGTTGGGCGCGCTGGGCTTCGGTCAGATGTTGCTTGACAATGGGCATGACTTTCTCTATACGTCCTCTCATGTCCCGTACGTGCTCAATCACTGACCGTTGTGGGGCTGGCTCTTGCTCCCAAGCTTGACGAGCCACGTCCAATAGCCCTCGTGGTTGACGGTCGAACAGCAATTCAAAAGGTGTAAAACCTGTAGATCCTTGGGGAACTTCTCTGATCCCGAAAAGCACGTACGGGATCATGAGGTCCCAGTCGCGCCCATCCTCTGCCACCACCCTGCGGAGCATCTGCTTCAGCGTCTTGTTAAAGCGCTCCACCAAGCCATCAGTCTGCGGATGATAAACAGAGGTTTTTATTTGCTTTACCTTTAGGAGGCGGCAGAGGTCTGCCATCAACCGGGACATGAATGGGGTGCCCTGGTCGGTCAGTATCTCTGCTGGTATTCCTACTCGGCTGCACAATAAAAACAGCTCTTTAGCGATTGCCGATGACGTGGCTTTTCTCAGAGGTATCGCTTCTGGATATCTGGTGGCGTAGTCGAGGATGACAAGGATGTGTTCATGTCCCCGGGCCGACTTCGGCAAAGGCCCTATCAAGTCCATGCCAATGCGGTTGAAGGGCACCTCAATGATGGGTAATGGTATCAGAGGGCTGGGGGGTGGTCGTTGGGGAGACGTTCTTTGGCAGATGTCACATGCCTGACAATACCTCTTGACTTCTCCATCCAACCCGGGCCAGTGGAAACGATCTCTAATCCTTTTGATCGTGTTGGCTGCTCCTAGATGTCCTGCCATCGGGTGAGTATGTGCCAGTTCCAGAACCGTCTCCCTTTTGGTCCTCGGGACGACCAATAGCGTCTTCGTTTCCCCCCGCCTTTCTGCGACACAGTACAGCAGACCATTTTGTACAATAAAATGTGGGAGGGGGTGAGGGCTGGGAAACCGTTCGTTACCGTCTATGATCCGGACTTGTGGCCAGCAGTGCTTCAACGTTTCATCTTCACGCTGTGCTCTCCCGAAATCGCCACCTGCGGTAATCTGTTGAAAAAGATCATAGTACAGGTTAGCCGATGATGGCTCACCCCCTCTGTCGCTCTCGGTGGCCATCAGCGCTGTTTGGCGGTCCCGTTGAGCCCGTCCCTTGCTGTTCTTCTTTGCCCGAGCCGATCGAGCCTGATGGTGGGTGAGGAGATCATCGAACCCCGGCCAGGCTCTGCCCAGAAGAAGGGGTACAGGAAGATCTGGAACCACTCCTACTTCGATGCGCCAGCTTCCCGACTTAGTCGCTATAGTGACTCTTTGGGCGGGTACGTGGCGGGTATCACCGTGTATGCATGTAATCGGGATTCGACCTTTCCCTTCTTGATGGTATTTTAACGTGTTTGGGTGGACCAGTGTTATTGCACTTCCTGTATCCAGTGTGGCCGTCTGTGTTTTCCCGTCTAAACATACTTTTCGGGTGGGAGCTTCGGGAGGGATGTTGCGATGTACCACGCACCCTGCCGTCCAGGCCGGGGCCGAGAGTGTTGTTGGCTCTGTGGGCATCGGCTCGTCGACTGGGCTGGGGACCGCCGGTCTGCTGCCTGGTCGTGTTGTGCCCTCCACCGGTCGCCATGGCGCATTTACCCTCCGGGGTGGCAGAGCCGCTCTCTCCCCAGTCTCCCGGGCCACATGAGCTTCCGCCAGCTCCACCGCCTCCACCAAAGCGGCCAGCGAGTCGGGGTTCCTCATGCTGGTAAGTGTGCGGAGCCGTCTGGGTAGCGCCCTCATCATCTTTTCAATGACTACTTTCTCAGCGACCTGGACTGCGGTTGGATCTCCTCCCAGTAACCATAATCTTCCCAATCTGGATAAGTTGGCTGCTTGGGTCCGAACCGGCTGTTTGTCATCATAGGACCACTGAGAAAATTGTTGTGCTGCGCTTATATTGGAGAGTCCCATTCTGGCGAGTATCTCCTTTTTTAATGCTTTATAGTCGTCATTTTTCGGTGTCTCTAATGCGAAATAAGCTCTTTGAGCTTCTCCAGTCAGGAATGGCGCTAGCATCCTCGCCCAACTTTCCTTCGGCCATCTCTCTCTTTCCGCAATTACCTCAAAGGTGTGCAGGTAAGCATCAATATCATCCAGGTCGCTGAGTTTTGTGATAAATCTATGGGCGCTCACCTCAGAGAACTGGCTGGAACCGGCCGCTTGGCGGAGCTGTTGTTCCATACGGTCTTGTCTGGCGGTGAGTTGTTCAGTTATCACTTGTTGTCTTCTTGAGATTTCCGCTAGATGGCGTACTACCTCTTCGATCGACATGACTCAGGAGGGGATGACAGCCGAGTAAGAGAGCGTGAGTGAGAGAGAGAGCGGATGCCTGTCTGTAAACAGAAGAAAAACAGAGAAAATTCAGTGGTTACTTCTTCTTACTGGTAAGTGCTGAATTTTTTTCCCTCTGAAGAAGCGCGCATTCTCCACCAGTTGTAGCGAGGCAGAGGGAAAACAGCGGCACAACAGGATGAGTTTACAGACAAGTCCCCGGAGGGTGCTTAATTTACAAAGTGAATGTGCTGTAAAAGGTGCTCTTCTTTAGGGTGAGGTGCTCTGGTGCTCCGGGAAGTAGGTGAAGGACGGTGAGTAGTCGGGTGCAGGATCGTCACGAGCTGGAGTCCGCTAAGGAGAGACAGAGAGACAAGCATTAGCACAGGGAGTCATAGAAGGAATGAAGCTCATCTTCTCCTGGCGTAGGTTGGGCTTATATGTCTCCCGGCTTGATGAGCTCCAGCTGTGATCGATCCTGACTTGATGATGGTCCAGCTGGGTGAAATTAGCGACCAGGGCGACGTGGCAAATAATCGCTCGCTACAATATATATATATATACATACTGTATATTTAGATTTTAAATATGTTTTAACTACATTGGAGAGATGTGATCTTGAATTTTTCATGCGAGAAATCTTCAGTGTTTGGATAATTCTGCATTCAGAAGTTAATTCCTGTAATTCCTAAAATTTTTCCTGTTGGCTAGATATTAACAAATAACCATCAAAACAACTTTGCCGAAGCCTCTCTACCTGAATGTTGGTCTCGCGCATGTGCCATGTTTATACTTTGTTTACACTTTTTTCCTGAGTTTGTAGTTCTAATCGAATTTACATCCAACGCATGTATTGTGGGCAATACTTACATTAGCAGTTGGGGTACAGACTTTAAATTGATAAAAGTATTGAATTTATGGAATAGTACACCATCCGGGAACCTCTGGCATTCTCTTTTCAACAAACTATGGATTTTTGACACACTAATTCTATTTTCGATTATTATTTAGGACGTATAGTATGCAAATTGGGTCGCAGCAATGTTCTAAAACTACCTAAGAAACATTAAAATTTTTCCTTCATTCTGTCAGTTTGCTAACACTTCCTGTTGTGTTCTGAAGTGGATCTGCTAGCTCTACTGAAGTGGAAAGCACATCCAGACCACGTGATGGACATTTTGGGGCGGTTGCGTCACGTCTGTGGAGAAGAAATCGTCAAAGTGAGAGTTCTGTCCCATTAAATTAACACCATTTGTGTACAAGACGCATTTTAAGGTCAGCTAACATCTGCTTCTGTTTATCTTCCACAGTTTCTTCAAGACATCCTCGACACGTTGTTCTCCATTCTGGATGACAATACGGACAAATATGGCCCTCTGGTGTTTCAGTCGCTGGTTAGAAAATTTTAAATGATATTTGAAGAGTATTTGAGAGCAAGTGCCGTCTGAAATGTGCTACTAAAATGAGCCTTTTTTTAAGCTCCTCTGTTTTACGTTCAGTAATTTTACTTTTATGACAATGTATAGTTTTCTTTATTTGCCCTAAATGTGAAATAGCCAACTCAGGCTCATTGGAGATATGTTCCCAGGGCTTTTATTTGAGAACTGGGAAATATGTGCACTGGGCTGCACATGCTTGCAGTTTTTGGGATTCTCAGTTTTTTTTTCATTTCTCTAATGGCTGCTGTTGTACATTTTTGACAATCTCAATTACATTACTGGGACAGGTTTTCTTATATGTGCCATTTCTCATAAATCCACCAGAGGCCGCTGTGTAGATTTCTGCCAGTCTTTACGTCCTTCTTGCATGCGCCCCTGTGAGAATATCTCAATGTATCTCAACTTGCTATTAACTGTCCCACCAACCTCCTTCTGTAAACCCAACCGATAGTGTTTTCTAAAGCAAACTAAAAGAGAAGAACATTTCAGACGCCACTTAAAGGCTACAGCATCTGAACTCTTTTTGTGGATTTGTAGGTTTTTGACAACTCTTTGAACTATTTTGACAACTCTTTACAATTTTACTTTAAACTTTACAAGTTACATTTAGATTGTTTTTTCCAAGAACCAATCATTCGTGTTTTTACACAATTTGTTATGCAACTATGAAATGATGGCACATGAAAATAGTCAGTTTCGCTGGATTTATGAGTTATAGTAAATCATAAATATGATATTTTATAGTTGTTATAGTTGGATTTCATTTTTTATTTGTTTGTATTTAATTATGTTTTTTTATATAAAATAACAAAAGATCTCATATTTACAGATACAGTGCTCAGCATAATTGTGTACAGCACATTCTGAAAATAGTATGAAACCCAGCATTTTTTACAGTCTCAGAAGTAATTAAGTGCAGTTTTTTGTTTAACAGAGCAAGGAAATTTTCACAGTAGGTCTGATAATATTTTTTCCTCTGAAGAATGTTATATTTTTTTTCTTTTGGCTAGAAAAACAGCAATTTTTTTATGAACCATTTTAAGGTCAAAATTATTAGCCCCTTTAAGCTAATTTTTTGTTCGACTGTCTACAGAACAATTCATTGCTATCAAATAACTTGCCTAATTACCCTACCCTGCCTAGTTACCCTAATTAACCTAGTTAAGCCTTTAAATGTCACTTTAAGCTGTATAGAAGTGACTTGAAAAATATCTAGTAATATATTATTTACTGTCACCATGGCAAAGATAAAATAAATTAGCTATTAGAAATGGGTTATTAAAACTAATATGATTAGAAATGTGTGGAAAAAATCTTCTCTTCGTCAAACAGAAATTGGGGAAAAAATAAACAGGGGGGTGTATAATTCAGGGGGGCTAATAATTCTGACTTCAACTGTACATACAGTACAATGATACTTACCTCCTACATACAGTATATACTTCTTACATATTTACTGTAATTCATACACACATGCTGTTAAACAAGTGATTAGTTCTTCTTGCAGTGACCGCGGTTGCAGGTTTTCCTCTGATAGTCAGGTTTGCACACACATGTTCCATGACGCCGATACCTCTCAAGTGTGTTTTGTTGCACACTGACACTCGAATGAGCAGCCAGATCCATACGACCACTTGGAGCAAGCTGGAAATGGCATTGTGTTGGACATTTTGTTAAAATCAGGAGAAGCATCAGATGTAAAATAGATAACATAATTAACCAAAATATGAAATTTTCCTAAATCAACATCTTTGTTCTGAAAACATCTCAGTTTCTCTGTGAATATGGGTAATATATTTTGGTGCATTTGAACTGAACAGATTTATTAAACATTTATTTTTTAAAACAATATTTTAGTCACAGAACATCTTTAAAAATGCAAAGATAATAAATTAAAGTTCTATTCAATGCTTTTTTTGAAAATGTTATTCAATATTTTCTTTAACAAAAATTTTTTAAATGACCAAATTTCTATATGAAATTTGAAAAAAAATGTTATCAGACAATCATAAAAGAAAACTATTAACTTGTTACTCAAACCCACACCCAAACAAGCAGGAAATCTATACAAAATACATGAGAATTAGGAGAAAGTTGTTTTTTTAGAGCTGTTTATTAATGTTGAGTTCAAATTAAATCCATTGATGTGAATTGGTTTTACAATAAATATTATATTAAATTAATATTTAAGTATTGTTAATGTTTCATTGAATTGTTATAAATCTCCAAAAAGTAACAAGCTTTTTTCTCTTCTTCTTTTGTTCCTTTACTCAAGAATATTGTCAACCAGAAAGTTTAATTTTACATTTAGTCATTTAGCAGACGCTTTTATCCAAAGCTAATTACAAATGAGGACAAGGAAGCAATTTACACAACCACAAGAGCAACCATGAATAAGTGCAGTAGGCAAGTTTCAGGTATGTAAAGAAAGTGTAAGAAGCAAAACATTAGTAATTTTTTTTATGTATTTAGTGGAGGAGTCATGGAGGGAATTGCATAGTAGTAAGGAAAGTGCAGACTAAATAGTTGAGCTTTTAGTGGTTTTTTTAAACAGCGAGTGACTCTGCCGTTCTGATGCAGTTAGGGAGTTCATTCCACCCATTGGGCAGATTGAGCGCGAGAGTTCAGGAAAGTGATTTCTTCCCTCTTTGGGATGGAACCACGAGGCGACGTTCATTCACAGAACGCAAGTTTCTGGAGGGCCTAGAAATCTGCAGAAGTGAGAGCAGATAAGGAGCAAAGCCAGAAATCGCTTTGTAAGCGAACATCACAGCTTTGAATTTGATGTGAGCAGCAACTGGCAGCCAGTGCAAACGGATGAGTAGCGGAGTGATATGTGCTCTTTTAGGTTCATTAAAGACCACTCGTCCTGCTGCGTTCTTAAGCAGCTGAAGAGGTTTGATAGAGTTAGCTGGGAGCCCGGCTAGTAGAGAGTTGCTATATTCCAGTCTGGAGAGAACAAGAGCTTGAACAAGGAGTTGAGCTGCATGTTCAGATAGGAAGGGTCGGATCTTTCTGATGTTGTAGTGCGAATCTGCACGATCGAGCAGTTTTAGAGATGTGGTCAGAGAAGTTTAGTTGGTCATCAATCGTTACTCCAAGGCTTTTCACCATTTTGGATGCAGTAATGGTTGCCCCATCCATCTGGATTGAAAAGTTATGATGTAGAGTCGGGTTGGCAATAATTAAGTGAAATTTTCCCTCAGTATCTCTGCTTTCACTTAAGTATGAATTCTGAGTATTTTCTACACTGGTGTCATGGGTTATATAACATTAATAATTCACTGCTGTAGTAACGTGTCCAAATATCACACATCAAAAGCGCTTACATTTACAATACAAGCATGTGTGTGTATACAGCCTTAAATCTGCACAATTCATCTCTTTCAGGAGCCCCATGCTATGTGTGTGTGTGTCTGTTTTGAAAAATGGAGGATTTGAGCTGGCGTGGATCCAGGCTTTATTAGGCGCTCACAGCTGCTTGATAGTGGCGTCTCTAGAGAGCCTTTAGCTTCTCGTACTCCTGTAAAAAGAGTCAAGACGTTCTAGCCTCTGTTGGCCTGAATACATCTGTCACGCTTCTGTGTGGAGAATAGAGAACTGGCGCAGGCTGCATTATTCTGTGTTGAGATTCATGGTGTTGTGATCCTCTGGATGTTCTTTAGCTTGAAATGTTTGTGTGAATTAAAATCTAATTTGTGATGGATGTCGAGTTTGTGCAGAGGTGATAAGATTTTAACCTTTTGGAATGACCATACTCTTGTCAGATTCTGCTGATAAACCAATATTTGTCAGATTGCTAAACAAGAGTGCGTTTTCGAAAACCATCGTTAGCCAACTGATATCATAAGTTCTGTCATTCTGTCATAAACATAGTTCATTTATTTGGTGTTTCCGAATCCGTTGTTCCAACAAACATTCGCAAATTTAACATTTTCCTACCTGTAGAAGTAGAGCAACCTCTAGAGCTGTAGATAGATTTTCTCTAAAGAAGTTGTTACTCCACCCCGTTTATAGCGCCATTTTGGACGTTTTACATTATGACTAACGTGGTTCGAATGAAGGATGTGTGACAGAGCAACTACGGTTTTGGGAAACACTTGTTACGTTGTAAATTAAGTTACGTTAAAATATAATTTATGACGCATATTGGATTTAAGAAGAACTGATAAAATATAAGCCTTTTTGAATGGCCATACTTTGTCAGATTCTGCTGATAAACCAATATTTGTTAGATTGCTGAACAAGGATGCGTTTCCGAAAACCATGGTTAGCCAACTAATGTCGTGAGTTCTGTCATTACAACATGGTTCATTGATTTGGTGTTTCCTGAGTTCGTTGTTCCAACAAACCTTCGCAAACTGGACATTTTCTGACTTCTAAAACTGTAGAAGTAGAGAAACCTCTAGAGCTGTAGATAGATTTTCTCTAAAGAAGTTGTTACTCCACCACGTTTATGGCATCATTATGGAAATTTTACATTATGAATAATGTGGTGCGAATGAAGGATGTCTGACAGAGCAACTACGGTTTTGGTAAACACTTGTCACTACATCATTTGTTTTTCCCTCTAACCACTGCATCATATGGTAGTTCAGCCGCGAGTTACGTTGTGAATTAAGTTACGTTAAAATATCATTTGTGACACATATTGGATTTAAGAAGCATTAATAAAATAAAAGCCTTTTTGAATGGCCATACGTTGTCAGATTCTGCTGATAAACCAATATTTGTAGAACAAGGGTGGGTTTCCGAAAATCATCGTTAGTCAACTAAGGTCATGAGTTCTGTCATTATAAACATAGTTCATTGATTTGGTGTTTCCTAAATCCAACGTTTTAATAAACATTTGTGAACTGAACATTTATGACCTCTAGAACTGTAGTTAGATTGTCTCTAAAGAAGTTGTTACTCCACCACGTTTATAGCATCATTATGGATGTTTTACATTATGACTAATGTGGTTCTAATGAAGGATCCGTTAAAGAGCAAATACAGTTTTGGGAAACACTAGTCACTACATCATTTGTTTTTCCCCCTAAGCACTGCATCATATGGTAGTCCAGCCGCGAGTTACATTGTAAATCAAATAGCGTTAAAACATAATTTGTGACGCATATTGGATTGAAGAAGCATTGATAAAATATAAGCCTTTTTGAATGGCCTTACATTGTCACATTCTGCTGATAAACCAATATTTGTTAGATTGCTGAACAAGGATGTGTTTCCAAAACCATGGTTAGCCAACTAATGTCATGAGTTCTGTCATTACAACATGGTTCATTGATTTGGTGTTTCCTGAGTTTGTTGTTCCAACAAACCTTCGCAAACTGGACATTTTCTGACTTCTAAAACTGTAGAAGTAGAGAAACCTCTAGAGCTGTAGATAGATTTTCTCTAAAGAAGTTGTTACTCCACCACGTTTATGGCATCATTATGGAAATTTTACATTATGACTAATGTGGTTCTAATGAAGGATGTCTGACAGAGCAACTACGGTTTTGGGAAACACTTTTCACTACATCATTTGTTTTTCCCCCTAACCACTGCATCATATGGTAGTTCAGCCACGAGTTACGTTGTGAATTAAGTTACGTCAAAATATCATTTGTGACACATATTGGATTTAAGAAGCATTGATAAAATACAAGCCTTTTTTAATGGCCATACGTTGTCAGATTCTGCTGATAAACCAATATTTGTAGAACAAGGGTGCGTTTCCGAAAACCATCGTTAGCCAACTAAGGTCATGAGTTCTGTCATTATAAACATAGTTCATTGATTTGGTTTCCTCAATCTGTAATTTTTATAAACATTTGTAAACTAAACATTTATGACCTCTAGAGCTGTTGTTAGATTTTCTCTAAAGAACGTGTTACTCCACCACGTTTATAGCGGCATTATGGACATTTTAAATTATGACTAACGTGGTTCAAATGATGGATGTCTGACAGAGTAACTACGGTTTTGGGAAACACTTGTCACTACATCATTTGTTTTTCCCTCTAACCACTGCATCATATGGTAGTTCAGCCACGAGTTACGTTGTGAATTAAGTTACGTTAAAATATCATTTGTGACACATATTGGATTTAAGAAGCATTAATAAAATAAAAGCCTTTTTGAATGGCCATACGTTGTCAGATTCTGCTGATAAACCAATATTTGTAGAACAAGGGTGGGTTTCCGAAAATCATCGTTAGTCAACTAAGGTCATGAGTTCTGTCATTATAAACATAGTTCATTGATTTGGTGTTTCCTGAATCCAACGTTTTAATAAACATTTGTGAACTGAACATTTATGACCTCTAGAACTGATAGATTTTCTCTAAAGAAGTTGTTACTCCACCACGTTTATAGCAGCATTATGGATGTTTTACATTATGACTAATGTGGTTCGAATGAAGGATGTCTGACAGAGCAACTACGGTTTTGGTAAACACTTGTCACTACATCATTTGTTTTTCCCCCTAACCACTGCATCATATGGTAGTTCAGCCGCTAGTTACGTTGTGAATTAAGTTACGTCAAAATATCATTTGTGACACATATTGGATTTAAGAAGCATTGATAAAATATAAGCCTTTTTAAATGGCCATACGTTGTCAGATTCTGCTGATAAACCAATATTTATAGAACAAGGGTGCGTTACCGAAAACCATCGTTAGCCAACTAAGGTCATGAGTTCTGTCATTATAAACATAGTTCATTGATTTGGTGTTTCCTCAATCCGTAATTTTAATAAACATTTGTAAACTAAACATTTATGACCTCTAAAACTGTAGTTAGAGTTTCTCTAAAGAAGTTGTTACTCCACCACGTTTATAGCAGCATTATGGATGTTTTACATTATGACTAATGTGGTTCGAATGAAGGATGTGTGAAAGAGCAAATACAGTTTTGGGAAACACTTTGTCACTACATCATTTGTTTTTCCCCCTAAGCACTGCATCATATGGTAGTCCAGCCACGAGTTACGTTGTAAATCAAATAGCATTAAAACATAATTTGTGACGCATATTGGATTGAAGAAGCATTGATAAAATATAAGCCTTTTTGAATGGCCATACGTTGTCAGATTCTGCTGATAAACCAATATTTGTTAGATTGCTGAACAAGGATGCGTTTCCAAAACCATGGTTAGCCAACTAATGTCGTGAGTTCTGTCATTACAACATGGTTCATTGATTTGGTGTTTCCTGAATCTGTTGTTCCAACAAACATTCGCCACCTAAACATTTTCTGACTTCTAAAACTGTAGAAGTAGAGAAACCTCTAGAGCTGTAGTTAGATTTTTCTCTAAAAAAGTTGTTACTCCACCACGTTTATGGCATCATTATGGACATTTTACATTATGACTAATGTAGTTTGAATGATGGATGTCTGACAGAGTAACTACAGTTTTGGAAAACACTTGTCACTACATATTTTTTTTTTTTTCTAATAAGATGGAAAAGTTACGAAGTAAATCAAATTCTGTTAAAATTAAATTTGTGACGCATATCAAATTTAAGAAGCATTGATGAAATATAAGCCTTTTTTAATGGCCATACTTTGGCAAATTCTGCTGATAAACCAATATTTAGCAGTTAGCTGAACTTTCGCGTTTCCAAAAACCATCGCCAACTATGTTCTCAATTTCCATCATTATATACATAGTTCATTGATTTGGTGTTAAGCAAATTTGTCGTTTCAACAAATGTTTGCAAACTGACCAACCTAAAACATCCAGAACTGTAGTTTAAAATAGAGTAATAAATATAAAAAGGAAATTCAAGTAAATAACTTAAAAATACTTAAACTATGTACATTATATTGTTTCAATATGACATTGATCAGAGGAGAAAAAAAAATGCAATATCAATGCAGTTCGTAACTTCTTGATTTAATGGCTAATTTGTATTTATTTGTATGATTTAATTTGTAGATCCCTATTGATGGTTGGGTTTAGGGGTAGGATTTGGGGGTATGGCTTTTTCATGTAAGTGAAATCGTATGAATTTGTAAGAATTAGCCACTTTTCTGACAATACGTAAAATAGTTACAGTTCCTCGTAAGATTAGGCTGGTAAAAATATGTATGTGCATTAGGGTACATATACATTAAAATTATTTACTGAATACGCAAGTGTTTTCTTTGCATTTTTGGAAAGTTCCATGTATAGACAACAAAAAATTTTATAATTTTTTAAAATATTTTATTTGTTATCGTTTTTTCAAAAGAATGCACTTTGATACGTTTTTATATTTGCATTTTCAGGCAAACAATACAAAATGCTTGATAACCTTGTTGCCATGTAAATGAATGCTCAAAACATATGTTGTGTAAACACCCTCTGATTAAATATTATTTTATAGACATATTTAACCAATCTAAAACTAATGAAATTATCAAAACCAGACAATTTTGGCTAGAATTTGAACAAGCAAAATATAAACAATCAATTATAATGGTGATAAAAACAACTCCTTCCATCTTTCTCCAGGTGTTTATCATCAATCTGCTCCGGGACAGTAAGTTTTATCATTTCCGGCCTGTGATGGACACCTACATCCAGAAGCATTTTGCTGGAGCCCTTGCTTACAAGTAAGTTGACATGACTAGTTTTTGCAGGATATGTCTGTATACAAATAGTTTAATAGCAAACAGAGTAAATATAAGTGAATGAAGACTATTTTTAGTGTTGTTCATTTAATATTTAATCTAACTGGATGTTTACTTTCAAATGCAGAGAGCTGATTCGCTGTCTGAAGTGGTATATGGATCGCTCAGCAGAAGTTGTGCGACAGGATCACATCCAGGAAGCCATGAGGGTAAGATTTATGTATGTCATACAGTCAAACAAAGAGAAGTCAAGATAAAAAGCCACATAAAATGAAAATTGTGGTCATAATTTGATAAATAGCAAACATGATCATGATTCAGCCTAAACAGTTACTATAACGTAGTACACTTAGATAATTCTACAAAAGACATTTACAAATTACTAGCTCAAGACAAACTCTGTTGAGATTTCTTATTCACTGCCTGGATTTTTTTTTTTAGATTAATTGTCAAGCTTGTTTGATTGGTGATTCATTTTGGTACTGGCAGCACCCTCATATTAAGATGTCAAGCACTGTCAACGTACAGAAAGATTATACTTTAGTTAAAGTGTGGGTGTTGCATCCAAGAGCTTTAAAGAATAAGTGCAACTAATTAAGTTCCTTCTCTTGAGGTTAAAAAAAAATTTTCATAAACTTTGCAATTGCCCCATTTGTTTTCAAAGTAAAAGCCCTGGGATTCTCATTACATTTAACTAAAAAATTCCAAAGGGTGATTTCACACTGGGTACATTTTCTGTGATCTGAGTCTGAATGGGATTGCTCCCAGTGCCCAGATTCATTGGAAACAAAATCAGGCCAGTTCCTCCTGGGTAGTCTCAAGTTTGGTCCCTCATTGCTCACCCAGGCAGCAGTTACCAGTTTTGTCATGTGAATGCATCCCAAGGCGTTTTGGTGTAAACAGTCGAAGTCAGAATTATTTGCCCTCTTTAAATTTTCCAAATTATGTTTAACAGGGAATAGAAATTTTCACAGTATGTCTGATAATATTTTTTCTTCTGGAGAAAGTCTTATTTGTTTTATTTCGGCTAGAATAAAAGCAGTTTTTAATTTTTTAAACACCATTTTGGGGACAAAATTATTAGCCCCTTTAGTCTATTTTTTTTCTCGATAATCTACAGAACAAACTACCATTTTACTATAACTTGCCTAATTACCCTAACCTGCCTAGTTAACCTAATTAACCTAGTTAAACCTTTAAATGTTACTTTAAGCTGTAGAGAAATGTCTTTAAAAATCTAGTAAAATATTATTTACTGTCATCATGACAAAGATAAAATAAATCTGTTATTAGAAATGAGTTATTAAAACTATTATGTTTAGAAATGTGCTGAAAAAAAATCTGCTCTCCGTTTAACAGAAATTAGGGGAAAAAATAAACAAGCAGTCTAATAATTCAGGGGGCTAATAATTCTGACCAACTGTATATTACCTTTATAAAACTGCAAATCTTCCTCCAGGCTTTAGAGTACCTCTTTAAATTCATCGTCCAGTCGCGGATCCTCTACTCTCGGGCCACCTGCGGGATGGAGGAAGACCAGTTTCGAGCCAGCATACAGGAGCTTTTCCAGTCCATCCGTTTTGTTCTCAGCCTGGACAGCCGCAGCTCTGAGACCCTCATTTTCACCCAGGTCAGACATAAAGTTAATTAATTTATACCTTACATCTGTTAAATCAAATAAATAACAAGCGAAAACGATCACAGACAAAAGAACTAGCCAGTTTTATGTGTTTGAAAATGAAAGGTTCAGATGCAGCAAGATGCTGATCTCCAAATCCACAGTTGTTGACCCAAGATCAAAGCTGTTAGCTTTAGGCTGAGGTTTCTTTAGTCCTCTGTTAGACTCATGCATCTCTCTCTCTCTCTCTCTCTGCTGTAAAGAAGTTGTATGTCTAAGCTGTTTAGACAGCCCCATCTCAAGGAAATCCTGAGAAATCATTTCTCTTCCAGAGCGAGTTTGTGTTTGTTTGAGAAGATATCTGCTTGCTTAAGATTGCTTGCTCACTGAAGTATATGTAAATATTCTGCCATGTCATATTTGAAGAACCAAGACAAGAGGGCTTAAGACAAGCTTAAGAGACACTTACAATAAACCACCTAACAAAATTTTGAGATACCATAGTAGTAGTATTAGCCACTAAATTTTCCGAACTTGGTGTGAAGGATACTTGATGCTGAGATACTAGTACTGTGTATGTTATGTCTGGTTGTTGGAGCAGTTCTATTGGATGCTGGTTATAAAGTGTTTTGAATTTAAGTCAAACTAGGCCTGCCCCAAGTTATTATGATATTTTGATCCCTATATGTGTTTTATTGATCTCTTGGTAATTCATTTTCAGTAAAGTACAGGATTTAGGCGTCAGGAGTTTGACACATAGGTTTGTATAAGATACACTTTCATTAGATTGTTTGAACTAATTCTTCAGAAAGATGTGTTGTAATTCTTCCACATGCCTTCTTCTGTTATCACCATATTTTATACCTTCAGCAACATGCCATTTAATTTGGGATCCACCAGGAACAAACCAGTGGCTGTTTTTTGATTAATCAGACTACAAGCCATCCTACTCACAATTGTAGCATTTTGATCATTTAGCCTTTTTTTGGATTTTGTTGACTTGATATTTTCTCCTTAATTGTCCCATATTGTACCTGTGTGGACTTTTGCTGTCCCTGCCCTGTGTCCTGACCCAATCCTGCCCAACCTCACTGTACCCCTAGGGTCCCCAGGCAACTACAGGACAAGCCTCTACCAACCAGGGCAACTGCTTGCAGCCGTTGAGCTGTAATGCCCCACGGCCCTCTCCTCTGTCTGTAAGTAGAAGCAGCTTGTTAAATTGCCCCACAGTATGGAACGGAGACTCCCTCACAACCCCAACCCAATGCCAGTCTCCAAAACATTGCATACAATCACTCAGTACCTTCCCAAAAGACCAGACCCGAACATGAACCAACAGTCCGAACAATCTGACCAACACCAACAAATGATTCCCACTGCTTCCAATGCATTTTCCGCTGGGTTCTTTTGGTGTGTTTCTTGGTTTTGATTGCTGTGTTTGACACCATATCTTCTCCTGCACAACTTTGAGTCCTTCGAAACACCCCCCATTATTCACCTTTCCTCTTCAGTGGCCTTAAACTGGGACCAAAGATCACCTTGCCTGGAATGGTTTGTAGTGGAGGGATGTTGAGCAAAGCAGGGAATGGAAGTTCTCAGAAGCAAGAGATGTAGATAGTAGATGTTTTAGTAGTGATACCTTTGATTTGAAGAATAGCCAAACTCGCAAGTGCCAATCTAACAAGTAATTCTTAATTGTGTCCCTGATTTATACCAGGCCCTCAGCCTTGCTCCTGGAGACCCACAGTCCTGCAATGTTTACCCTGAATCAACCTAAACCCTTCACTTTTCAAGTGACTTGAAAATGTTGATTGGTTGGTTCAAGTGTGTTTGACTAATGCTAAATTCTGTGGGACAGTTCATCTCCAGGAATGACCTCAGAATAAAAAAGACCTTCTCAAAAATTTGACTTTACAGTATTAGCCATGAAGAGTTCATGAATTCTCACTTATGCTTCATCTCTTGCTATGTCTGTGATGTCCATCCCATCTTTGGCCAATATTCCCTTCTCATCTTGAGTTGTCTGAAAAGAAAAAATATCCTCAAGTAACAACCTTTCTTTTTTCTGAAATCTTCTTAATTTTTCAGGCTGCCCTGCTCAACTCATTCCCAGCCATTTTTGACGAGCTCCTACAGATGTTCACAGTGCAGGAAGTAGCAGAGTTTGTGAGGGGAACTCTGGGCAGCATGCCTAGTACAGTTCACATTGGACAGTCCATGGATGTGGTCAAGCTGCAGTCCATTGCTCGAACTGTGGATAGCAGACTTTTCTCTTTTCCAGGTATTTCCTACATACATGGTTCATTCTAATGTTTACAATCTGTATCATTAGATTTGCCGCAACTTGTCATTGGGACAGTGCACATTGTTTTCCCATTTGTACCTTATTTGCAGGGGTGGACATAGCAGGTACACTTGTGCGCATGAGCAATTTTAAAAAGCTAAAGAAGTATTATGCATACCAACATTGTTGGCATTATAGGACCTTGTCACCTAGGTTAACACAATATAAGGACATTTACCATGGAAAATTAGTAAGATTATTACAAGCATGTTAAGTGAAGTTTATTTATAAACTAATTTCGAGAGGATCACGTGCTAATGATTGCGTGCGGCTGGTCTCACATTATCCAATTTATGATACACCAATCAGACGATTCCTAAGCCACTATAAATACCCTAAGTTCCATATCACAGCCATCTTCTTTTTAAAGAATCCCCCCTTCCACCTCTACTCCTTCTCCTTTCCTAGATGGGTGACACAATGGCCCAGTGGTTAGAACTGTTGCCTCACTGCAAGAACTTTGCTGGTTCTAGTCCTTACCAAGCCAGCTGCCGTTTCTGTGTGAAGTTTACACATTCTCCCCGTGCTTGCTTGGGTTTCCCCCGGGTTCCCCCCACTGTCCAAAAACATGCAACTTAAGTTAATTGACTAATCCAAATCGGCATCATAGACATGCTCCTAGTAAGTAGTTATCTCTTAAGAGCAATCACTATCTGTTCATTAGCTACTTAACTACAGCAGAGTGATTCTCCAGATCTGCCTGAGCTCAAACTCCCCTCTCGCCTTGCAAACGGGAGGGAGCCCCGGGCTCAAGGATCTTATGAGCTCAGGGCTCTCTCCCGATGACAGCATGTCAAACAAGCTTTATAATCAATCAAGTGTCAACCCTTTTTTTAAAGCAACACGGCAGGCCTTGGATTTAGTTTACATTACCTCAGATTTAATTTCTCAGGAACAATGTTATATAGCGTTGTTCTTAGATTGCTTTAGGATTAGGGCTGAGCGGTTTTTCCGATTTTTTTCGATTAATTCGAATTTACGTTTTAAGACTATTTATTTCGAATCAAATCGAGAAATCACGATTTTTAAAAATATATATATATATATTTAATACATTATAATGGCACCAATGCGCTTTGGTTCTGTATCTTTTAAGAAAAAGGCAGCAGCATTACAACCTGTCATTCAATCAGAAGACAAAGTCAAAGCCGAGCTGAAAGCCAATCTTTCCTAGGCTCAGCAAAACTTGCAAAAATACCTCTGTATTCTTGCAACTGCAATATTTACACAAATATTTCTCATTCAAATCTTCTGCAACGATATTTAGTTCGTGAATTTGTTTTACATTTATTTACACCTTGACCGATTTTTGTATGACATGGCCATTAAAAATACAATGTTCCTTAACCAGATGGGTTTTTTTAAAGTTACTTTTAAAGAGAATGTTACTTCAGTCATGTTGTTGTAATGTTTTGAGAAGACTAGTAACACAATAAAAAAAAAATCTAAATCGAAATCGTGAATCGGTCAAACTTTATAAAAAACCTAGATTTTTTTTTTTTGCTAAATCGCCCAGCCCTATTTAGGATAGTGGCAATCAGGGTTTCCATTGTGCCCATATTGTGTCCCCAGCCACAACCTTTTGACAGGTGAGCACAGTAGGCGCAGTCCCATCTGGCATGAAAGGATGTGACCATACAATCAGCTGATTCAGCAGTGTTCTATACTGTCATGCCAGGTTCACGCAATGTAAAGCAAGCATCTACATTGTGTTACACACTCTTGATGACATGCAGAATCTTTTTCACCTTCATGGAGCTTTTCTGAAGACGCAATTTAGACTCAGTGTATATAATCTACTCACGCACATTCTAAGGGTGCTTTCACACCTACACTTTTGTTTCGGAACGCCCAGTTAGCGCGGTTCGTTTGGCATATGTGAACAGGGCAATCGCGCTCTGTTCCGCGCCAAAGTAATCACTCCGAGATCACTTGAATGAGGTGGTCTCGGCTCGATTGAAACAAACCCTGGAGCGGTTCGATTGCAGTGAGAAAGCGATCCGATCCGAGCGCGGTTATATCACAGTGTTTTATGGATATGTAATAGGCTTACGGCTATATGAAGAGAGAATTATGAGTATGGCGGGAAGTTTCGCGAGTCTCCGGATGCCCGCAAACAAGTGATGATCTCCCGGTAATCTCGCGTCTCCCTCCCGGTCCTCAAATAGGCATCGTCGCGCACCCTTCTCACCCCTCCCCACCGCATCTCTCCTCAGACACGTCGCGCGCGCACCCTGTCAATCACCACCAAACCACCACCTCTCCTGACACCTTAGTGGGACGCTGCAAAATAAACCCTGACACTCTGACCAATGTAAGGAGAGTTTACTCGCACGTGACTTGTTTTAGTTCTTTTGGTCCGATTAGAAACTTTGCAATGTAAAAGCGAACCGCTCCAAGAGCAAAGAGCAACAATGTAACGATTGTAATCTCTGTTTCCGAACAACTGAATCGATTCACAGGTGTAAAAGCACCCTTATTCTCATTTGGTGTCAAGCTTTTTTGGCTTGGCTTTTATTTTTTAGATAGGGGGAACAAAATGGTTTCACACAAGATGCTATTTTATTAAGACAGATTATGACAGCATGTATGCCATGAACAAGCAACCAAGCAAAATCTCCAGATTCTCCATGGGACCAAAAAAGTTATATGCATCCCTGCTTTTTGCTACCATTCATATGGGGTTCATAGTAGCACAAGGGCATTTAATAGTACTGTAAGGTATTAATACACACTTTAAGAGGGTATGCTGAGAACATATCAGCTTATTTAAAGGTACTATCCCAGTGGCAAGCTTTAGTACCTCAAAAGGTGTAACACATACATGTTTTATTATAGTGAATGTCTAAAATCCTAAACACCGCCCTCTCTTTCTTTGCACAGAATCAAGGAGAATTCTCCTTCCTGTTGTTCTCCACCACATTCATCTGCATCTGCGGCAACAGAAGGAGCTTCTCATCTGTTCAGGAATCCTGAGCAGCATTTTCTCCATTATTAAGAGCAGCTCACTGGTACACACACTTCTGTCAATATGCACGTCATCGAAACTCAAAAAATCCTGTTGGTGACTTGAGTCAATGTTTGTCTTCTTGTGTCTGCAGGAGAGCTCTGTGCAGGAGGAGGTGGAGATGATGGTGGAGAGTTTGTTGGATGTGTTGTTGCAGACACTGTTGGCCATCATGAGTAAATCTCAGTCTCAGGAGGCGGTAAGAGGACAGCGCTGTCCACAGTGCACGGCTGAGATCACTGTTAGTAACTAACAAATCTGATATTCTTCCTTCCCTCCATCCCCTCATCCCTTTTCTACTCCACCTGCTTGGCAGCATCTCTACAGAGATTTCTTTTTCATATTTAGCTTGCTTTATCGGACTATAGAGTGCAACAGCCCAGTTAAAGTAAAATTGCACTTTTTTTTATACAGAATCATTATTAAGTATAACATTGAACAAACAAGATGTCAAAAATATGTTAATCACACCAAACTGACTAGATAAAATATACGCTTACCGGCCACTTTATTAGGTACACCTTACTAGTACTTGGTTGGACCCCTTTTGCCCTAAGAACTGCCTTAATCCTAACATTTAACAAGGTACTGTAAATATTCCTCAGAGATTTTGCTCCATACTGACATGATAGCATCACGCAGTTGCTGCAGATTTGTTGTCTGCACATCCATGATGCCAATCTCCCGTTCCAACACATCCCAAAGGTGCTCTATTGAATTTCTGATGACTGTGGAGGCCATTTGAGTACAGTGAACTTATTGTCATGTTCAAGAAACCAGTCTGAGATGATTGGAGCTTTATGAGATGCCGTGTAATCCTGCTGGAAATGGTCAGCAGCAATACTCAGGTAGGCTGTGGCATTGACACCATGTTCAATTGGTACTAATGAACCCAAAGTGTGCCAAGAAAATATTCCCCACACCATTACACCAGCACAAGCAGCCTGAACCGCTGATACAAGGCAGGATGGATCCATGCTTTCATGTTGTTGATGCCAAATTCTGACCAGACCATCTGAATGTGGCAGCGAGAAATGGAGACTCATCAGACCAGGCAACGTTTCTCCCATCTTCGATTGTCCAGTTTTGGTGAGCCAGTGTGATGCGTAGCCTCAGTTTCCTGTTCTTTGCTGACAGGAGTGGCACCCGGTGTGGTCTTCTGCTGCTGTAGCCCATCCGTCTCAAGGTTGGACATGTTGTGCAGTCAGAGATGCTCTTCTGCAGACCTCAGTTGTAACGAGTGCTTATTTTAGTTAATGTTGCCTTTCTAATCAGCTGGAACCAGTCTGGCCATTTTCCTCTGACCTCTAGCATCAACAAGGCATTTGCGCCCACAGAACTGCCGCTCACTGGATATTTCCTCTTTGTTGGACCATTCTCTGTAAACCCTAGAGAAGGTTGTGCGTGAAAATCTCAGTAGATCAGCAGTTTCTGAAATACTTAGACCAGCCCGTCTGGCAGCAACAACCATGCCACGTTCAAAGTCATTTAAATCCCCTTTCTTCCCCATTCTGATGCTCGCTTTGAACTGCAGCAGATTGTCTTGAACATGTCTACATGCCTAAATGCATTGAGCTGCAGCCATGTGATTGGCTGATTAGAAATCTGTGAGCAGTTGGACAGGTGAATCTAATAAAGTTGCCAGTGAGTGTACAGTATATTACATGATTTTCAATGAATGTAAATAAGAGCACTGTTGTTCTCTCCCCCTTTCTCTCTATCTCTCTCTCTCTCTCTCTCTTGCGTTCAAATCTGTGTTTATGTATCCTCACACTCACTCACTGACTCACACATAATACAGTATGTCTTCGTGTGGGTGAACTTCATGAAAACTGCGAATAAAGTACATATTTTAAGAACACAATAAAAAAGATTGGACCATTACATTTATTTTGTTTTTTGGTTCAACTTTCTTTATGTAAAATTTAAATACATAGTTGTTTTTGCGTAAAATAAGGCCGTGATGTTTCTTGTCAGGCTTCATGAGACTCACCCGCGCATGCTTGTCTTATTCTTGTTTTTTTGTCTCCTGCATTTAGTTTGTTTTAACACCTGCTGGGAAAACTCAACAGTAACTATCTAAAACACATGCATACTCAGATCTACACATTTGATGTCTTCTTACACATTTATTTTGTTTTCAATGTTATTTGTGGATGTATTTAGGATAGATCTCTTTCAAACAAAACCCAGCAGAAACTAGTCATGTTTATGTGTCTGTTTAGTTAAAAGAAGCAAGGAAAGTCCAGATGGGGTAAATTCACTAAGAATATACTGTAATAACATTACATGTTTGCAAACACAACTCATTTTGTTTATAAAGTGTCTAGGGACTCCACTGACCCAAGGTTTGCAATAGTGCGAGTAGATCGTGAGTATATTGCAGTGTGTAATATACATTCAGTATATTTTGTTACAAAAAGTAAAAAAAATACTTTATTTGGGTTATTTTGGGATTTGTTTTGCTCTTGTGCCATTGTAATTTAATTATTGTGATCCATCCATAATAGATATGTGCACGTGATGTAGCTATGCACTAGTTTTATATAAGTTTATATTGGTTACGTGATGGACATTGCGCTCTTTGCTCTCATTAACATGCTTAAATACCTGTGCTATATGACAATACTAAAACTGTTTAGGTCCTCGTGTATGTGATTTAAAATTTGGGACTCTACTGAAGTCTGTTCTGAAATGAAAGTGTCAGACTTGACATCATTCGCTAGGGTTTTTAATGCCGCGCGACTCGCATTGCTAGGTGAAAACTACCTGCTTACACTGCAGACACGAGAACACAGATCCGACTCATATCGGATAAATTTCTACATATGAACAAGGGCTGAATCTGATTGGAGTAAATCAGAATCCCTGTGACTTGTTCCTGCTTACACGTACATGGGCCATATCCGATCTGTGCCACATGGGAGAAAAAAAAATCGGAATTGAGTCACTTGAACAGTGCGGTGTAAATGCGGCCAGTGTTTTAGTTTGTCTCATATCCAGATGATCCGAGCTTACTCTTTGCCATTTCAGCCACTATTCGCTCGTCTGAGAGAAATATTGGAAATCTTAAAGGATTATAATAATCTCAGACTCAACTTTATTACCCCGTTTGGGGAAACTGAAATTGCAGCAAGGTGGCGTAACACATGTTCCATATACACATTAATAAAATATTACCACACAACATACTATACATCATTGTTTATGTGTCTCCCTCCCCGCTGGACTCATTTAATGATCTCATTTAGTAACAGCATATGTTTTACGCTGCGGATGCCCCTCCAGCTGCAACCCATCTCTGGGAAACATCCATGCACACTCATTCATACACAGAAACTCATACACTATGGCCATATTAGTTTATCAATTACCCTATAGCGACTGTGGGGGAAACCGGAGCACCCGGAGGAAACCCACACCAACACGGGGAGAACATGCAAACTCCACACAGAAATACCAACTGAACCAGCTGGGACTCAAACCAGCAACCTTCTTACTGTGAGGCAACAGTGCTAACCACTGAGCCACCATGCTGCCACAAAACAACATTCATTAATTTTCCTATTGGCTTAGTCCCTTTATTAATCCAGGATCGCCACAGCAGAATGAACCGCCAACTTATCCTGCACGTTTTTACGCAGCAGATGCCCTTCCAGCCGCAACCCATCTCTGGGGAACATCCATACACACTCATTTATGATCATACACAACTGACAATTTAGCCTACCCAGTTCACCTGTACAGCATGTCTTTGGACTGTGGGGGAAACCGGAGCACCCGGAGGAAACCCATGCAAAAGCAGGGAGAACATGCAAACTCCACACAGAAACGCCAACTGACCCAGCCGAGGCTCGAATCAGTGACCTTCTTGCTGTGAGGTGACAGCACTATCCACTACACCACTGCGTCACCCTGAAATAACAATTTATTAGTAATAGTAATATAAAAATCGGGCCAGATTTCCATGCAGTCTGAAAATGGCGTTGATTAGTGAATTGATCTCGAATGTTTCCATGTCTTTCATTCATTCTGCTCCCCTGCTCCCTTTGGATGCATTTGATTGGCTGTTTGTTGTGATTGGAAAGTAAACAGATTTGATTGGCTCACAGCGACGTACCCTCTTTCTGATTGGCAGGGAGAGTATGTGTCCTGCCTGCTGTCTCTCCTGCGCCAAATGTCGGACATTCACTTTCAACACCTGCTGGACAACTTCCAGAGCAAAGAGGAGCTGAAGGTTGGAGAGACGTCTTCTGCATTTCAGAAACCAGGGATCTGGAATCATTTATAATATTGTTTTAAATGTTTCCCAGAGCTTACTCAATGCTTTCTCTTGCAGGAGTTTCTGCTGAAGATTTTCTGTGTGTTCAGAAACCTGATGAAGCTCAGTATTTTCCCACGTGACTGGAACGTCATGCGACTGCTGACCAGCAAGTGAGGATCCTGTTCTGCATTTCTTCTTAAAAATATAATAAGTGTGATGCTTATTATTATGATTATATATTGATTATCTATGATCATATGACTATGATTATATACTGATTATCATATTTTGAGCTTGTACGATGACTTTTGGATGCTTATCGCCCCATTCACATTGGGCTTCAGCATCAACGCTTGACTGAAGGCGTGTCTGAAGTTGGGGCTGACGCGATCGTCGTAGCAGCGTCAGCCAATGAAATTAGTCCGCAATCGGCTGCTGTCTGAGCTGGTGTATTTGCATACAGCTATCTGATTGGCTGACACTTCCGTCGGTGCTTGAAAAGTTGAGAAAGTCCCAACTTCTCCAGCGAGCAACGCCTCTGAAGCAAGGCCGAAGGATCCACAATGCAGTCCGGCAACGCCTGAAGTCACCCATTTAAAGTGTATGGGAAGCGTTGAAGCTGACGCCCCGTGTGAATGGGGTGTTCGTCACTCACAGTATGGAGGTCTCAGATACACTACAATACGAGAAGAGATAAAACTGTTCTTAGAGTTTTTGGCTTGTTTGTAGACTATAAATATCTAAAAATTATTAAATCATTACAGATTTTTTAGACAAGTAAAAAATTATATTGTTTTGTTTTCGGAAATAGTCAAATTTCTGCTGCGTGGTACAAACACACTGAAGTCGCCTCAATCCGGTCTACCTTGGAAGTTCAGATAATCCAATTTGAGCAGAAAATTTGCATGAGGTGGAAAAACATCCCGTGGTTAAACTAGTGCAAGTGACCCATGTTGATAGTGTTGGTCGATCAGAAAAGAAAAAAATAGCGTGATATGGCAAAAACTTTCCACACTTTCCATTCACCTATTTTTAAGTGCATTTTGGATTTGACCATAACAAATGGAAACGTCAAGATGCACATAAAATTTGAAAATGCGTATAAAAAACATATGCGCATAACTGAGTAGGATAAACTTTTTATTCGATAAAAAAAGATGTGCATAAACTCTGATGGAAACACTTCTTCCAAGCAAAGTCCAGTATGCGCATTAAAAAGATCATGTGATGATGAAAATGTGTGTGAATGGACAAACTGGCAGGCTGAGCACACTGTAGAACATCTGAAATGTCGTTTTGGTCATTCTAAAACACTGTACCGTTTCAGTATTAGTGTTATTATTAATTAGGGGTGTCAAAATTAATTGTTTCTTCGGTGCACCGCGATGCAGACGCGGACAATTCGGTATCGATTCAGTAATAACCATAACCGGTTATAGTGACGTCATTTATCTCCTCTGTTGCGAGGGAGGTGAGCGCCGTTATTTACAACACTCAGCCCACTCAGGGCCGGCCCGTGGCATAGGCACCATAGGCAAATGCTAAGGGCGCTGTATATCCAGTGGGGCGCCAGAAATTAGCGCGCTTCAGTTGGTTTTGTTTTCGATTTTCCTGACACTTTCAGTTATAGACGGCAATAACTCAAAAAACGCTTACCCTAAAAAGATCTAAAGTGTGTTTCCTACAGAAAGACAAAGCTGGTTATGTTTCACAGCTGTCTTTCTTTTTTTCGCTCGACATTACGAGCACTGCTCCGTTTAAGCCCTCGCAGTCTGCGTTTACTTTAGCCGGCAGAGCTCGCGCTGAGAGGAGCTCTCTGTAAGGGACCGTCGGAAAAGTGCTTATTTTTTTCGTTTTTCTGCTCCGCTCAGCGCGAGCTCTCCCTGTTGCAAGGGCTTAAGTGTGTTTGTTTGTGTGTGTGCGTGTGGGTGTTTGTTTGTTTGATGCTGTCTATGTTTGTGAATGTGTTTGAATATGAGACAGTGTGGTGCTGTGTGTTTATACAGACAGCATGTTATAGCCTCCCCCCTAAAATATAACACTATATATGGAAAGCATCGTCAATGCACCGTGATGCACCGAGATATCGAATTGAACCGAATCGATGGCATGATAACCGAACCGTGAGACCAGTATAGGTTCACACCTCTATTATTAATGACCTCCAAGAGCGTCTGCGCTCTGTGTCTAACGCCTTCAAACACCACTGCACATTTACTGTGTCGGCATTTTCTTCTTAGGCGCAAGTCATTTAGTAAACAAAGAAACAATTCAAATTACTGCTGCTTGGCACGAATACACTGAATTCAGCTCAACTCGGTCTACCTCACAATATTAAATAATTCAATGCTGTGACTTATTCGAGTTTTTCTTTAAAACAAGCTAAATAATGTGCCAATGGGGTTAAGTAAAATGATCATATTTTCAGTTTGCAGTAAGTTTATTTTACTAAACCCACTGGTAGATATTTTAGTTTGTTTTAAGGAAAAACCTACGGAGACCCGGAAGGGACGCGACAATTCATAAAACGAGTGATAAGTAAGCATATTTTAGAAAGAGTTTGTGTTCCCTTGAAAATATGTTTTGCGTTCCCTTCCAAAGCTGTTGTTGGACAAACACTTCACTTCATACATGACAACCCTGCTTTTACCGGGATTTTCCCGTATTTTACCATTATATCCTATTATTAGGTATTTTCCCATATTTCTCTCATATTTTTAATCTTGAAAGCTTGTTGAAATGAATATAAAAATGTCTGAATTCACACGCCATTTAAAGAGGAGCTAAAGTGCAGGACGATGTGGGATTCGGGTGTGTGTTTAAACAGACAAAATACATGTCCTGCGTGTTTTATTTCAAACACAACTAATTTGCTCTTAAAAGAGGACAAACGGTTAAAGTATGCTTTCGTTATATATCAGTGGTAAGTGACACCTCTGTTGTCAAAAAAAATAAAACGAGAGATTCATTTGCTGCTCTTCACTTGTTTGATAACAGAGATGTCACTTTAAATGGCGTGTACAGAAGCTGATTTGGGATCAGTTTATCATATGGAGCGCCTCCGTCAGTCAGCGCTTATACATGCATTCACTGATTCAGAGGTTGCAAATGAGGGGCGCTAATCGATAATCAGCTTTAATCGAAAGAAAGTGAATTCAGACATTTTTTTATTAATTTCAACATGCTTTCAAGATGAAAAATATGACAAAATAACTAATAATAGGATATAGTGGTAAAATATAGGAGAATCCCGGCAAAAACAGGAGGTTTGTCATGTATGTAGTGAAGTGTTTGTTGAACAACATTTTTACGAGGGAACACAAAACATATTTGCGAGAGAACGGAAAAACTTTCTAAAATATGATTACCTATCACTCGTTTTTTTTTCTCCCACGCATTTTGTATTTCTTCCACCCATTTTTTTTTTCTCCACCATCACGTCCCTCCCGGGTCTCTGTAAAAAAAACACTTCAATTTGACTATTTCTGAAGACAAGACAGTCTAGTCTAGAAAATGCTTCTTGATTTAAGCAACAACAGCAGAAACTCATGTAGAAAAGCATTTTTTTGCAGTAACATTTCTAAATCAAAACTGATATTTATATATAAAAAACTAATTTTGGTAGATTTTTATATTTTATTCATTCAGATTTGTTTATCAAAGAATCCTGAAGATAAATTTGTATTATGGAATTCACAAAAATATTGAGCATAAGAACTAATACATTTATTGTTGTATTAATAGTGGTTGTAGATTGTTGAAATAGTAGTAGTTTTCTCTTATTTATGTACTCTGACCTGTCCACCTAGTTATTTTTGCATGTGCACACACACACACATGCATGCAAACACACACACCTGCCAGTAGCTGACTGTTTTGTTGTTGTTGTTTTCTATTTCTACCATTTGTATGTGATCCCAATCTGTGTAACTTTTGCATAATATTATCATTAAATTTTTTTTTTTAAATATACATTTTGTGAAAAATGCTAAATGGTGTTACATTAAGGTAGCCGTGTCATGAGAATTCAGAATAAAATAAATTTAAAACATTAATATAGAAAACAGTTATTTTAAATGGTCAAAATATGCTACACAATAATTACTGTTTTGTTGAATTTTAAACAAACTCTGAATAGAATTTTGGAATTGGAATTTCCAAATTGAATTATGGAATTTTCTGCCAGGGGAAAAATAAAATTAAAAAGAAAAATATATATAGTTGTGAGGTAAAATAAAACATCACAATTCTGACTTCTCATTCATTTTCTTGTCGGCTTAGTCCCTTTATTAATCCGGGGTCACCACAGCGGAATGAACCACCAACTTATCCAGCAAGTTTTTACGCAGCGGATGCCCTTCCAGCCGCAACCCATCTCTGGGAACCATACACACACACACACACACACTCATACACTACGGACAATTTAGCCTACCCAATTCACCTGTACCTCATGTCTTTGGACTGTGGGGAAAACCGGAGCACCCGGAGGAAACCCACACGAACGAAGGGAGAACATGCAAACTCCACACAGAAACGCCAACTGGGCCGAGGATCGAACCAGCGACCTTCTTGCTTTGAGGCGAACGTGCTACCCACTACGTCGCCCTAAATCTGACTTCTTTTTCCTACAATTTAAAAGAGAACAAAGTCAGAATTGCAAGATGTTCAATCAATTCAGTTGATCATTATTTCTATAGTGCTTCAACAATATAGATTGTGTGGCAGCAGCTGAACACAGAAGTTCTAGTAAACTGAAGCTGTGTCAGTCCAGTGTTCAGAGCTAAAGTTCAGTTTAGCTCAGTTCAGTGTGGTTCAATCTTGACTGCCGAAAGTCCAAACACTGACGAGCTAATCTATCCATGTAAACCAAGCAGGACAGCGCGACAGTGAAGGAACAAACTTCACCAATTGACCAAAGTGAAGGAAAAAAACCTGTAGAGAAACCAGGCTAAGTTAGGCATAACATTTTCTCCTCTGGCCAAATCAGATTTGAGATTAAAAAAGTCCCAAATCACAATAAAACATATGCCCTTGTGTGTATTTCTGGTTTTTAAGCCTGTAGGTGTGTCGTGCGATTACAAGAAAGTAGCAGTTATGAAAAAAAGACATCTAAATTTGCCAATAAACATTAAAAAACTGCAACAATAGGATTTTTTTCGAAAGCAATCTATAAGTGAAGTTTATGTATAAACAAATTTCGAGAGATCACGTGCTTATGATTGCTAGCAGCTGACCCGCATAATCTAATTCACTACGCTCCAATCAGACGACTCCTAAACTACTATAAATACCCTGGGGTTCATTCCATTGCTATCTTCGTTTTGAAGAGTCCCCCCTTCCTCCCCTACTCCTCCTTCTTAGACGGGTGACACGGTGGCCCAGTGCGTAGCACTGTCGCCTCACAGCAAGAATGTCTCTGGTTCCTGGCTTTACCAAAACTAGCAGACATTTCTGTGTGGAGTTTGCACTTCTCCCCGTGCTCACGTGGGTTTCCCCCGGCTTCCCCGGTTTCCTCCCACCGCCTAAAAACATGCAATTAAGTCAATTGAACAATCCAAATTGGCACCATAGACACGCTTCTAGTTCGTAGTTAATTTCAAGAACATTCACTTGCTACAGCAGGGGAGTTCTCGAGATCTACCTGAGCTCAAACTCCCCTCCCGCCTTGCAACGGGAGGGAGCCCTGGGCTCGAGGATCTCATGAGCTCAGGGCTCTCTCCCAGGACAGCATGCCAAACAAGCTTTTATAATTAATCATCAGCTAAGTGTGAACTCTTGAAATAAAATCTATGAACATACCCCAAATGCTTCAACTTGTCTCTCTCTTTCTTGCAGTATCATCGTGAGCACAACTCAGTATCTGTCGCCTGCTCTCCATAAAAGCTTTACAGATGCTGACTTCGATTTTAAGGTGTGTGATTCTGCACATTTTTCACAACCAACTCCCTGGCACTGCAGCAAACACTAACCATAAACATCATCTCCGCACGCACACACACATCTGTTCTCCTGGAGATGGCATTCACATGTTCACAAACGTGCCTGATGTGGGCCTTTACGGTGTCCTGCTGCTGTTGGACACTCTTGGCTCTCTCTAATCCACTCTAATGAAGCGCTCCTCCCTGATCAAGACAGATGGTGCCACTAACCAGGGAGACCGTCTCTGGAAGTTCACATCTACTGAATTATTAATGAAGGTTATCTTGCGGAGAAAAACACAAGCCTGTCTGTCAGCGTGGGCTTTCGCTGAATGTCCCTTGGAAAACGCGGAGAGCAGCTTAAGTTCTGAATCCAAACCGGGAACTGGATAAGATAGCTAACAGTCAAGACTAGTTTACCCACTGAAGACATGTTAAACTATAGTATTACTTTTTTGTGTCCTGCTATTGTAACCTCCTACAAAAGGTTTAAGAAAACTGCTCAGAATATGCATTTGATATTTGTATCAGTCTATAATGATTTGAGAGGGTTTGTTTAAATCGTTATGGAGATTAAAGGGGACCTATTATGCAAAAATCACCTTTATAAAGGGTTAAATCACAGTTATATGGCAAGAGTCTGTGAATTTGCTTGTTAAGTGTGACTTCAGGGTCCAAGCACCATATCAAACTGTATGGGGACACTCAACAAATGGTGATAATAAATATTTATAAAGTGCTATATATATATATATATATATATATATATATATATATATATATATATATATATATATATATATATATATATATATCCATGCTTAATATCTGATGGTCAGAAAGTGAATCATTTTTTTTTATAAATTGTTAAAATATTGGTGTCTATGATGCAGCATGTCCAGAGACTGTTGTGTGCACCATGATCCTATATCAAATTCACTTTATTGTGTGATATGATGGTCATAAACTAGTATTTTCTCAATTCAAATAAGTAACGTAGACTAACCATGTTCCGTACACTTTTCGCTATTCAGCGCACTCAAACGACCACTCCTCCACCATTGAAAGCCAGATAAGCATGCTTGTGTGTTCATTCTCTGGGGGAATACCTATTCCACAATCCAAATCTTGATTGATGTCTTTTGGACCAGTAGTTTTTGAGAAAAGATGGGATAAGTACCACCTTCGCATGTGTACGGAAGATGATAGGTATTAACGGTGTTCCGTACACGACTAAAATAGTGTTCTGTACAGGGCGCATAACTTTAATTTACTGGCAAAAATGGGCATTGTTTGAAGTATTATTAAAATCTTATGTCAGAATATACTATTATTGTGTTTAGCTTGAAGTTAATGCTATATTAAATAACTCTTTTATGAAAGTTTGAAATGAAATAGCTTCAAAATCATTTACTTTTTATATCATGTTTGTTTTATTAAAAACATGCCACAGCCATGTCACCCTGCAGCCCAAGACCGGTTACTCACTGAAGCTAAGCAGGGCTGAGCCTGGCCAGTACCTGGATGGGAGACCACTAGGGAACACTAGGTTGCTGTTGGAAGTGGTGTTAGTGAGGCCAGCAGGGGTGTCCTAATGCCCCAGTAAAAGTGAAGGTTACACTATACTGTCAGTGGGTGCCGTCTTTCCGATGAGACGTTAAACCGAGGTCCTGACTCTCTGTGGTCATTAAATATAAATAACCCTCCTGCTATATAAATACACATTACATTTATTACACCATGACAATTTAAAATATTAAAACATTAAATTCATGCACATTAATGCTAACTTGACTGACCTTTTATATGTATAAACATGATCACTGCAAAAGAAGGATCGAAACAGTGTTTGCAGCCTGTCTCTCAGGCTCTCTCTGGCGGAGAGTTGCGACATGCAGTCATAACCCATAACTGACGTTTAAATATCCCCATTTCAAAGCATTTATTCAACAAAAGATAAGTTATTTAACAATTTGTGATAACATAATATTCACTTCATAAAGACTCTAATACCGTGTGATGCATAAATTAAATGCAAAAGCATATTGTCATAGCTTTAAATGTATCCCCTCCCAGGCGACACTCGCACTTTAAGCTTGCCCACTATCTATTTTCATGCGCATTAGGTGGCCGTAGCAAACTTACTGAATTTACTGAAACATATGATAGGAAGGTCTCTGTTGTGGTTGGGGCTGAAAGAGTGAGAATTAAAGATTGCACAGATATATAGCTTGCCTACGACCCATAAGTATTTATTCAGAGTTTAGCATTAAAAGGTAATCTGTACGAAACATCGTTGTGTACGGAATATGGTTAGTCTACGTTAGCGGCTTAGACCCTGAAACAGCATTCCATAGACACGACCTAACAAGCAGATATACTTCCTGCCTACAGCCATCGATGTCATCCATTTCTGTGATGACACCGGCCTTAATTTAATAAACCTTAATCAGATTTAATGGCTCCTGTATTTCTGTTTCCATCAGGTGTGGAACTCGTACTTCAGTCTGGCTGTGCTATTTATCAACCAGCCTAGTCTACAGCTGGAGACTCTGACACCGGCCAAGCGGAAGAAGGTCTTTGACAAGTAAGACTTGATCCTGTTCACTCACACAAACCTCAGGACAACAGCTGTGTCTGAGACTAGTCCTAGCCACTAGGGGTTTAACGAATTATTTTAACTCACAGTTCAATTCAATTCACGATTTTGAGCTCATGATTTAAACTTCTCATGATTTTCTTTTACCATTGGCTGCGTCTGAAATCACCTACTATACAGTAGGTACTGCATATGAATTCAAATGTACTACTCGGCTGTTAGAAAAGTGTGTTCTATACAGTATGAATGTGAGCAGTATGAATGGAATTCGGATGTACTACATCCGCCATTCTGTCATGATCACATGACCTATCCACGTCACTTCCATTCATTAATTCTCTCCTGGGGCATCATGGGATTAAGTAGCGTCTATCCGATGTGCACTTCAGTATATCGCCGGAAGTAGTAGGTCATCCGGGTACTTCACTCATACTGTTTTTCGAACATACTACTCGGCTCGTATGTCGCGCTGTTTTTAGCGCACTATATAGCAGCGGTTACCAAACTTTTCAGCCTGCGAACCCACAAAATAACAATGTCAGTGACTCGCGACCTACATTTTTCAAGGTGGTCATACTGTAAATATATAAACTATAGGCATATATAAACATGAGCATATTGAAAACACAAACATGCAACAGTCTATTAACCATATAATGTTTTTTATAGCCATTTATTAATTTAAATAGATTTGAATATAAAAATTAAAGGCTGATGGCTGATTTGTATGTTGTTGTTTCTTTAACGCAACTATCAACTATTCTCTGTGGGTTATGAATAAAATATGGTTCAAATAGTTTAATAAAATGTATTTAAGTTTTACAAAAATCCCCAAATGCCCCCTTGTCATTGTCCCGTGACCCCCAGTTTGAGAACCACCGCTATATAGTATGAAAGTTTACGATTTCGGACACAGCTCATGTTTGGAGTGAAAGTCCTTCTCTGTTGATGTCAGTTTGACATTTTTATTTTTAGATACGCCCCTCTTTCTGTTAGTCTGCTATAAAGGAATGATATGCATAAAGAAAGCCCCGCCCCCTACTCAATATTCAGTTTCAGTTGGAAGTACATCAACGTACTAGAATAAGTTTCAGCAACTACAAGTTCACACAGACTTTAATCATTATTCACAAAGATAATAACATACATTCATAAACTTAGCTGAATTGCTATTTATTATCTATTTTTTTGAGTTATTTATATTTTATATTATAGTTATATCTACACATTTCACGCACAAATAATTCCAATAAATTTGAAAATGGCATATTTGTCTAAAAGATGACGTTACACGAGGACGCAAGATCGCTGAAGAACGCAATTTATTTACACCCGGGTTGTCTAAACTTGCTCCTGGAGGTAGGGTGGCCACCCATCCCTTAAAATACGGAATCGTCCCTTATTTGAGAATGAAATTGTGCATCCCGTTTTGAATCTATACGCGACAGGTTTTGTCCCGTATTTTAATCTTTTTTTTTTAAAGTAGCTTTTTATGCAAAGCATCCCACACGCATTTACTAAAGATGCCTCATTTCCTACTTTTGATTGGGTAATACTTGATGTCATCATTAGTTTGATTGGTCTTTTTGTCCGGGGAAGAGGGAGCGTCTTTTAAGCAGAGTTTGTCAAGTCCTCCACTTCTTAAAGTTTCAGAGTTTAAACGTAAGCGACTGAAAAAATACTGCAGAGAGTGGGAGGAAACAAATATCTGGCTGCAAAGTGTTAGAAATTGTTATCAAGCCAACTGCACGATTTGTTGGAGATCGTTCTCTGTGGCTCATCGTGATCTGTGGGACAACACGCCTTCAGAGAGCAGCATTCCCGCAATGACAGAGTTTGCAAAAAACAAAGCAGACAGTTCTTCGTACCCTTCGTAAAGCAGACAGTCTCTCCCTATTAATTGCTTAATAATGTTAAAAATGTGACCCGGTCTGTGAAAACCTAGCTGGAGTCTTTTTTTTTTTTCATTTACTGTTTTCTACATGAAATATAGAACAGTCTGATAATAATAATAGTAGTATATGCATTTAATTATAACTGAGTAAAACAATGTCAACAACTGAAATCACAGGGAAATGAATGGCTACAGTCAAACTTTATTTCAGAATTAGATTTGTCCTGGTTTTCACACACTGGGTCATAAATTGTAATTTGTTAAAAATTCTGTAAATACAATGTAAGTGGATCACATTCCAATGTAATATTATAATTTGTTTGTTAAGGTTAAGTCAGGCACATAAGCATTAATACTTGAAACATTTTATTTAATACATTAATAAACAACATAATACCCATGTAAAGAAAATAAGCTAGTAAATTGCAACTTTCCATAGTTTCAAAATAGAAATAGGCTATATGAAAACTTTACTACACTGGAAGAAAAATCCTGGTTGCCTTAATTTTTTAAAGCTGAATCAAAGTAATCATGAGTTTATTGAACTTATATTATGTTAAACTGACCTAAAACAGCTTGCATAACTTATAAAATTAAGATAAAACATGATTAACTTAGTTCAGTGAGTTAAAATGACCTAAAACATACGCTGTCAGGACTAATTGATCATATCATTTTTTACAGTTTAGCTAATGTTTGTATCTAGTTTATGTATGTGCCGTTTTTATGTTTGGATAGTTACTGCAAATAATGACAAATATTTTAGCCAAAATCTGTTATCAATACCACCCTTTAAAATTAGGTTCATTAGTATTTTTTCCTCGCCACTAGTATCTCGTTTCCACTGACTGGTACAGGACGGTACGGTTTAGGTCGGTATGGGTCACCTTTATCAGGCTTGCATTTCTATTACCAAGGGTATTCTTTTGGTGGGTATGGTGTATGATAGAAAGTTTCAGTCACATCATTCTCGCTCGAGGAAATGTCTACAATAAAGCTGTAGGGGCCGCTCACATATCATATGAGAAGCACTTCTCACAAAACAGATGCTTTACACACATAAATACATCTGTATAACTGTTTATTACTAACTTTTCTATGAACATGAGTTGTTCATAGAGTTGTTCATGGCTTCTCCTTTTTTCTGCGCATCACTCTCGCGTTTGTCTGACAGGATCGAGTTTCAAAAACACGTCAATAATAAAGCCCACGTTATTATCATCAGCTCAAGAAGTTTGTTATACTTCAGATATAGACGCGTGGTGAGCGCAAGCAAGAAAGCGAAAACGCTCGCACTTTAGAAACTTTAAAAACTACAAGGCACAGGGTAGATTCTGCTCTACTCCATGGTTTTGTGGCTGTTCATCAAGACGACGACAAGGTTTGTTTGAGCCCGGATCGACCATGGCTCGTTATTATTTGTATATTTAATTACGCTGTAATCTCTCGGCTGTGTATTTTAAACATGGCAGGTTTTTAGTTTTCATTCTGGCTTGTTGCGCAAGCTAATGATGTATCTCTGTAAACCTATAGTGTTCAGCTGCGCGTGTAGCTCCGCCTTTTGGTACACTTTCCGGTGGTTGATACCCTTTCGAAAGGGTGCCGAAAAAGTGGTACCGTACGGTACGGTTTGGTACGCCTTTTGACAGTGGAAACTGCCATAAAAGCGTACCAAACCGTACCGTACCACTTAGTGGAAATGGGCCATAGGTTATAGCAGCTGAGTTAACGTCAGCTATATCAGTGTTGCAGAGTTGTAAAAGAGAAAGACTGACTGCATCTGTTTACACAAATTTCAATAAAAGACAGATTATTTTAATGTCCAAGTGTTCATACTTTCCTGAAAACATATTTTAAGTTGTTATTTACCACCACTGGCAGGCTATTGGGCATGTGATCACAGTGGTCTAGGCCCCCAAGAGATACGGCCCCCACTGCAGCATGCGTCCCTTATTTTATTGTATCAAAAGTGGTAATCCTACCTGGAGGGCCGATGTCCTGCAGATTTGAGTTCCAACCCCAATTAGACACACCTAAACCAGCTAATCAAGCTCTTACTAGGTGTACTAGAAACTTCCAGGCAGGTGTTTTAAAGCAAGTTAAAGAATATCATAGCATCTTTACACTTAATTTTGAGCAGGCACAGAACTGTTTCATGACGTCATGATTTTCCCAAGCATGATGCATTCCTGGATTAACATCTATGTCCTAATCCATACTTATTCCCTACTTCTAAAACAAAGCACAACTGTGAATTATAATAGTTAGATAACAGTTATGTAGAAGCGCATAAACCTAACCGTAAGCCTAAACTTAACATTAACTGTAAACATATCCCTTAATTCTGATTGGCTGACTGGAATTTTGTTCCAGGATCGACATAGATGTTACTCCAGGAACATGTCGTACTTGGTAAAATCAGGTTGGCCACCTTAAATCGGCTGTGTAAAGATGACTTATGTGAAAAAGTGAGCTGTTTCAGACACTGCTAGTAAAAGAAAGCAGTCTGATGTTGGTTCTTGTTATCATGTCTTTCCTATTCGAATGTCAGTTGAGCTTAGATCAAATTGAACCCAGAATATTTGTTTAATTGTACAGAAAAAAAAAAAAAATTAAATTAGAGGTGAGGTGTAAACCATGTTAAATCCATTCAGAGTAGTGCTACAGTGCTGCATTCCCCCATTTTGTTTGTAGCCATGAGTTTAGCATCTCATAATTAATAGATACCTGTTCCTTTAGCTGTTGGTCAAATACTCAAATGCAAAAACTGCACAAAAGACACACAACATGCAAGACAGATCATCATCATGCTAGAGTACATTGAAAGGGTCGATTCATCTCTAATCTTCCTTCATTCTCATCTCTCTGTAATCTTCATCTTAGCGTGTAGCTCTTGCTGCTTCTCTGTTTGTTTCAATCATCTTACATTTGTGTTTTTTCTTGCCCTTGCAGGTATGGTGACATGAGGGTCATGATGGCTTACGAGCTGTTCAGCATGTGGCAGAATTTGGGTGAGTGTCGTGATTCTCTCTCCATCTTCCAGCTCTTGTTTCATTCTCTTTTCCTGCATTTCTCTGCACACGCACAGACGTAAACATGAGGATTGACTGAAGAAAAGCAACACTGACCTCTAGAGGCGGAAGAAGGCACTGCACTGCAGGAATTCCCTCGTAATCACATTTTCTGTACAGAGTAAAATGTTCAGTGGTTTTCAACCTGTGGGCCGTAATGGTATTGCAGGTTCCAGGTGTTATTGGTAGAAATTATATTTTTTATGAGATTCACACACACAAAAAAAGACAATTCTGTTCCCATTTACTTGTTGCAAACCTGAGTTTCTGTCCTCTGTTAAACACAAAAGAAGGTATCATGAAGAAAGCTGAAAACCATTGACTTCCATAGTCTTTGTCCTACTATGGAAGTCAATGCTTGCAGGTTTTCAGCTTTCTTTAAAATATCTTATTGAGGTTAATCTCAATAACGTTTTGAAACTCTTGAGGGTGAATATGTTAATTTATGGTTGAATTATCCATTAAAAATTACACTATACAGGTTTATTTATTTTTTAATTTGTCAAACATTTGTTGCATTAGTGAAAGTAATATATTATTTGATTATATAACATAATCACGGTTATGGGTTTGCTTGGTTTGGCTGCAGGTGAGAATAAGATCCACTTCATACCAGGAATGATCGGCCCCTTTTTGGGTGTGACGCTTGTACCGCAAAACGAAGTCCGAAATATAATGATCCCCATCTTCCACGATATGATGGACTGGGAACAGAGAAAGAACGGCAACTTCAAACAGGTCCATTATACCTGCCATCTGCTTCTCTGTCTTTTCTTGCCTGTTTTTTTCCCTCTTTTCTAAACCTGTTATGTTTCAGAGATTACAAAAGAATATGACTATGAATATGATATTTAGTTTATTTTTTGATGTTTTAGGAATAGAATGGATAAAGTAAGAACATTAGGCAAAATGGGGTATATACCGAAGCATGCTAATAGGACTTTTAATTTGCCAGTAACCTGGGTTAAGCGCTTCCGGCGAATTGAATGCCAATGCAGAATCCGGTGCGTTCAAGGTCTGTTTTCTTTAAAAATCAGCAATCTCCATTAGCTGAGTGATATCCGATTTAAAGTGGGTCTCAGATTGTACAAGAAGCACTGCATTAAATTACATTTCCCCCGCCATATCTTTATTATATGAGCATTTATTTTACCCCAGTATATTTAATGGAGCTTCATCGTTAGCCTGCCGATTCTGACGGGCGCGTGTGAGTAAACAGCTTTTTGTCTCGTTTTACGTTTGAGCAACCAAATAAATGCTAAAGTTTATTTAACTGAATGTATTTTAATGACATTAAAACATCGATGCTGTATAAGGAACCGTATAAAATGGAAAAAAGTTCACAATAACAGGTCACCGGAAGTGTATCAGCATGGGAACAACACTAGCTCGGCATATACCCTATTATAAGCCCTTTTGTGGAATTTTCATTTATTTTCAAATAATCAATTCAATTGTTTATTTATATAGCGCCATTATATATATATATATATATATATATAAGGTCCTGTCATAACCTGGTGCAATGGGGCGCAGGGCGCAACGCAATTGTTGTTTGCTTGTTTCAGCTTGGCACAAGAGTTGTTTGACGTTTTGCACCATGCTGTTTAAATAGCAAATGCATTTGCACTCATATGTGAGGCCATAGGTGTTCTGGTCTAAAAAAGGAGGCGTGTTGAGGCGCATTGCTGGCGCGTTGCTATTTTAAGAGTCTATAATAGACTGTTCAATAGATCTGAACAAAGCCGGTCTATAGTCCAGCGCAGAGCGCATTAGTTGTGCGGCTCGCTTACACATTGCTTAATACAGACAGGATGTACAGCAATACGCAAATATCTTTACATATGAAAAATATTAAACGATTAAAATATTACAAAAATTATTATTTTCTAGCCTACATAAATATAAAAACCACTGCTTCCATGCCTTCTTCATCTCGGCGTTTTTTTTTTTTTTTAGCTTATTCATAATAATTTGCTTTTGTTTAATGTTATTCCCACATAGCAAAATTTCTCTGGCCCAGCTCTGGCCCAAACAATCAGGTTTTGCTTGGCCCACATGCCACAGTGAATTACGGTACATGACTGGACCAAATCTGGCTTCCAGACAAGGGCCAAACACAGACCATATCTGGGCCAAGTCTCAGCCAAGTTAATAACTCATAACTGGGCCTGAACTGGGCCAGATAGGTTGGTGTGTCACGATTGCAATGAAATTGATAAACCCATGGAGTGATGCGCTTTAGGCACACTATGGGCACGCTTTTTCTCAAAGTGACCTGATTGGTAGAATTTTTTTCCTTTACTCAAAAATGATTTTAGTGTATTTTAAATGTGGGTCAAGACTGGCCAAACTCACATGGCCCACTTATCAAATTTTTAAATCTGGGCCAAATACTACGTTTTTCATCTGGCCCAAATCTTGTGTGCCGCCTTAAAGACGGTGCCACCTCTGCCAAACCCGGGCCATGTTTGGCCCACATGCTGTATGCCAGTGCCGGATGAATGCCTGCTGTGCCAGCTTTATGCCAAATCTGGGCCAGAATTCTTTGCTACTAGGGTTATTATTAGCAGTATTATTTATTATATGCATATTTATATTTGTTTTATTAAAAACAAGCTTAGATTTAAACACCTGTAAGGTTTTAGACGAAATGGGGCACAGCATGTGTATTAGGATATAACTAAGTTTTTTGAACACACTTCGTTATTATTGTTCATTTATTTGTTTGCTGGAAATTAGAAATGAATTTAGAAATAGTTTTGAAACAAATCTTTGCGCTTAACAAGCTAAATTAATTATTTATAGGCTAATGGATGTCTGTGCGTACAACAAGTTTCCCTATCCACAACAGTGAAAGTGAAAGTAAATAATGAGGAGGCTCATTTCTCATCCTCATGCTGTAGATGTTTTGTTTAACTGTTTTTTTACTAGTGAAACGCTCAGTTTTTCCACTTACAAAGTCCGCCATGTAAATAGCAAATGCGCTATGGCACGACGCAACTGACTCTTAAAGGGAATGGAAGTTGAGACTTCGATTGGATTATTCTCAAAACACACCTATAACTCATTAAGAAAATAAGCTCAACCCTTTTAAACCATGTGCCATGGCGCAAAGCGGATTCTTCTGTCCGTAAAATAGCAAAAGTAGATTCCGACATGACCTTAATGCTTTAGCGCCCTGCGCTTTGCACTTTGCGTATGGATCGTCAAAACAGAGCCCGCAATATTAGATATAGATTTAATTAGATAAAATATAGATGTATAGTTATATAATATAAGATGTTATCCAATGATTTGCTTGATTGGCCTATTTAAGCATTTAAATTAATCTGAATACTAGTATCCTGCAAAATAAATAGTAAAATAATATTATGTACTATCAGACTATTATGTTCAAAACGTCTCTCTCTAAAACATCAGCAGGGAAATATTTTACAAAGAATAAAAAAAAATAACAGGAGGGGATATATGATAGATAGATAGATAGATAGACAGACAGACAGACAGACAGACAGACAGACAGACAGACAGACAGACAGACAGACAGACAGACGGATGGAAGGACGGACGGACGGACAGACAGACAGATAGATAGAAAGATAGATAGATAGACAGACAGACAGACAGATAGATAGATAGATAGATAGAAGGACAAACAGATGGACGGACAGACAGACAGACAGACAGACAGATAGACAGATAGATAGATAGATAGATAGACAGACAGACAGACAGACAGACAGACAGACAGACAGACAGACAGATAGATAGATAGATAGATAGATAGATAGATAGATAGATAGATAGATAGATAGATAGATAGATAGATAGATAGATAGATAGATAGATAGATAGATAGATAGATAGAAGGAAAGACGGACGGAGGAATGGATGGATGGATGGAAGGATAGAGGGATAGACAGACTGACTGACAGACAGACGGACGGACAGACAAATAGATAGATAGATAGAAGGACAGACAGACGGACAGATGGATTGATGGAAGGATAGACTGACTGACAGACTGACGGATGGACGGACGGATGGACGGACAGACGGACGGACGGACAGACAGACAGATAGATAGATAGAAGGATGGACAGACAGACAGACAGACAGATAGATAGATGATGAAATGATAGGCTATGATAGATAGATAGAATGTGATGAAAAATAAATAAAAATTAACATAATTTATATATACTTATGAATAAGTATATACTGTTTAATTACATGTGAATGAACTGATGCTTATGGTGCAGGTGGAGGCGGAACTGATAGACAAACTGGACAGTCTGGTGTCTGAGGGCAAAGGAGACGAGAATTACAGAGAGCTCTTCAGTTTGCTGTAAGTAAACACACACACACACACACACACACACACACACATGGGAATTGGTGGTTTACGAGGACTCTTTATAGGCATCATGTATAAACAATAATTTTATGACCTTACCGCAAAACCCAACCTTTACAGGAAGCATGTGTGCAAACTTTGAATGTCAAAAGACCTTGTTATTTATGATTTTGAAGCATTTTGAATTATGAGGACACACTGCATGTCCTCATTAACCCCTTCAACATTGTAATACCTGGGTCATACTCATGTCATAATACAAACGTGTCCTCATAAAGCACATAAACAAGCACACCCAAACACAGATTGAGTGCTTTTGCTATAACCCGAGTGTCTCTGATTTTGCCTTGTGCTGCGGGATTATTAGAACTCAGCTGTTTGGGCCGTACCCCAGGTAAGAGGAAACCCACTCTTTTCAGGCCAGTCAGAAGCCACTCAAAATGATCTTCCATTACAAATCCCTCTATTTCCTCTGTGAAGTGTCCTTAAATGATGAGTTATATGTTGCCGTTTATGTTTAGTCTGCTGGAGAAGATCGAGCAGGAGACCTGGAGGGAGACAGGCATCTCCTTTGTCACGTCTGTCACGCGCCTCATGGAGCGACTGCTGGATTACAGGTATTACTTTAGTTTTACTCTCTGTACTAATAATAATGCTGTATTGATTGAACATAATTCACAATTGGTTCACTTTTGGTCTGATTTTGTCATCATTTACCCTCCCTTCACTTGTTCCAACCTGTTTGAGTTTCTTTCATCTGTTGAACTCAAACAGAAAGCCGGAAGCCTCATTGTCTTCCATAGTATTTGTTTTTCCGACTATGGAAGTGGCTATGTCAAAAGAAACTCATAAAGGTTTTGAACCACTTGAGGGAGAGTAAAAAGTGAGTAAATGTTAATTTTGGGGTAAATATCTCTTTAAATTTACAATTAGTAGATTAGTAATTCAACTTTAATTTCAGTTATAAACTTTACTGATAACTTAAACTGGTTATAAAAACAATTACTTTTATTTTTAGTTAGTCATAACAACACTGATGAGCATATACTGCAGTAAGTGGCTTTTGGGCACATGTAGTCTATCATAATATACTTATTGGCCACTTTATTAGGTACAACTGTCCAACTGCACGTTAACGTAAATTTCTAATCAGCCAGTCATATGGCAGCAGCTCAATGCATTTAGGCATGTAATCATGGTCAAGACAATCTGCTGCAGTTCAAAGCGAGCATCAGAATGGGGAAGAAAGGCGATGTAAGTGACTGAACTTGACATGGTTGTTGCTGCCACACGGCCTGGTCTGAGTATTTCAGAAACTGCTGATCTACTGGGATTTTCAAGCACAACCTTCTCTAGGGTTTACAGAGAATGGTCCGACAAAGAGGAAATATCCATTGAGCGGCAGTTCTGTGGGTGCAAAGGCTTTGTTGATGCCAGAGGTCAGAGGAGAATGGCCAGACTGGTTCCAGCTGATAGAAATAAGCACTCGTTACAACCGAGGTCTGCGGAAGAGCATCTCTGAACACACAACACCTCCAACCTTGAGGCAGATGGGCTACAGCAGCAGAAGACCACAACGGGTGCCACTCCTGTCAACAGGAAACTGAGCATACAATTCACACAGGCTCACCAAAACTGGACAACAGAAAACAATTGAAAGAAAATATGCCAGACTACTTTGGACTGTGGGGGGCAACCGGAGCCCCCGGAGGAAACCCAGTCCAACACGAGGAGAACATGCAAACTCCAATTAGAAACCCCAACTGACTCAGCCTTGGGCGAAGCAGTGGCGCAGTAGGTAGTGCTGTTGCCTCACAGCAAGAAGGTCGCTGAGTTGCTGGTTCGAGCCTCGGCTCAGTTGGCGTTTCTATGTGGAGTTTGCATGTTCTCCCTGCGTTTGCGTGGGTTTCCTCCGGGTGCTCCAGCCCAAAGACATGCGGTACAGGTGATTTGGGTAGGCTAAATTGTCCGTAGTGTATGAGTGTGTGTGTGAATGTGTGTGTGGATGTTTCCCAGAGATGGGTTGCGGCTGGAAGGGCATCCGCTACGTAAAAACTTGCTGGATAAGTTGGCGGTTCATTCCGCTGTGGCGACCCTGGATTAATAAAAGGACTAAGCCGACAAGAAAATGAATGAATGAACTGACTCAGCCAGGATTTAAACCAGCGACCTTCTTGCTGTGAGGCGACAGTTCTAACAGCTATCGTGTCACCCCATTATCAACATTTATTTTTGAATTTTGTAATGGTCTCTCGACCAAAGTCCTTTGATGTTACATCATACAGACGAGTGTACGGTTGCTGTAACTCCACAAAGATTCTGCCATTTCATGTCCACATAGCAGCACATTCCTCTCGCTGCTACTTTGCCATTTTAAAAGCAGTGGATGAAAGCGATTCTGAGCTTCTATTGGTCAATGTCACGGAACCTGCTGTAGATATAAGGAACAAATGTAACATGCTAGACCTTCTGTGTTGACATTGTAAAGCTGGCATCAGTGCACTATGACTCGCTACACGAGAAGAAATGATTAAATCTTACGCTCTGACACATTTTTCTTGTTTACAAATCCCCACAACACCCTACGTCAAGCAAATTGTGCTGAAATCAGGAAAAGATATGCGTAATCTGAATTAATTGTGCAGTATTTAAACCTTAAATTGAATGCTTGGTCAATAAATATTTGGATGTTTAGTAACCCTGGCCCACACATCTTAAATAGATGGATGTATCACTGCAGCAAGAGCATACAACGTTCCTGTTCAGTCTATCATATGTAATCTAAAAGCAAACAGTAGAAATCTCTTTATAAGTTGCATAGAAAGCAGCCAATCAGATTCAGACTTCATATTGTGCATATATATGATCATTGGGCGTGGCATCTGTAACTACTGAGACGTCCTGTTTCTGTTGTTGGCAGAGATTGCATGAAAGGTGATGAGACGGAAAACAAGAAGATCGGTTGCACGGTCAACCTGCTGGTGAGTTTGAGCTTTCATAATAAACATGACGCAGCTTTGTGAGCAAGCTGAACTGACCTGAGAGTCACATGATCTGGACGTTTACAGAATTTCTACAAGTCGGAGATCAATAAGGAGGAGATGTACATCCGATACATTCATAAGCTGTGTGACATGCACCTGCAGGCGGAAAACTACACAGGTGAGACACTTCATCTTACTGCAGGGGTGTCCAAACTCGATCTTGAAGGCCCGGTGTCCTGCAGATTTTAGCTCCAAGGGTCCGTTCTTCGTACCTCACTTAAATGATCTAAGATGATTTGGCAGATTCTGGATCTTTTGATCTTGATAACTGATCTCTCGCTAATATGGTTCTTCAAACAAGTTCGCGAATCAGATTAGAATGTCTGGATGAACTGATCTGAGATCGCTGCGTGTGTTGTGAAGGACAGATCTATCGATCCTCGAAATCATGATCAGCAATGCAACGATTGGCTGACGGCACAGCAGCGTAATGACATCATCTGATTAATATTCAATTATCCATGTGAGCAAAATTACATCAAATTAGCAGTAAACGGTTTGTTAAATATGACACGCAATAACCTTCCACATTTGTTGTGAGCTGCAGGCTTTACACTCTTATGTTTCAAGAGTATTCATCATGTATTTATCATGCATATTAATGTATTTAGTTCTACATTTAGAAAAGATTTTCTTTATTATAGTAGCCGTTTTTTAATCGGTGTAAAGAATAACTGGTTGTTTACAAAAGCATTTTGATATTGGTAAAGGCGTCTGCAACTTTTGTGAAGCATCAAATCACCGTCATATTAGCTGTCAAAACATGTTTATGACTGCATAAATGTAATATTGCTTTAAAAAATAAAGTCACATATTGTGCATGTTTATTATACACAATTTGTACTAAGCGATCTAAAAAGCTCATATCAATAAGTTTTCTCCTTGCACCAAGAGAAAGTCTTTGTACTTTCATTTCGAGGGTGCAGATTGCATAAGTTTTATTAATTTATATAACTTTATTTATTTTATTAATAACTATAACTTTATAGATATAGTTTAAAAAATATTTACTCTTTTCCCAAGTGTATATAACTACTACTGTAAGAAAATATCAGCATTCGGTACATACTTTCTGTATTATCTTTGCTTGAACTGAGCCGATCTAATCCTGTTTATATGAATTGAACCTGCTCCCGATCAGGTTTGACCTAGCAGAACTGTTGCTATGACAACAACTCTTGGATCAGCTTTGAAGAACAAAACGATCCTGGATCGTGTCAAATCGTCAATAACCAAATCCAGCTAACTAGTAATCCACATACGAAGAACGGACCCCAACTTGCTTCAACATACCTGCAGGGATGTTTCCAGAAAACCCAGTAAGAGCTTGATTAGCTAGCCCAGGTGTGTCTGATTGGGTTTGGAAATAAACTTTGCAGGACACGGGCCCTCCAGGTCCAAGTTTTGACACCCCTGTCTTATTGTATTCAAAAGCTGCTTATGCCACATGACACAGAACAGTTTACAAAACATCTGATAGACATGTACAGATATTCAATTTAAAAAAAGTTTCAAGAGTTGACACTTAGCTGATGATTAATTATAAAGCTTGTCCCAGGAGAGAGCCCTGAGCTCATAAGATCCTCGAGCCTGAGGCTCCCTCCCGTTTGCAAGGTGAAATGGGAGTTTGAGCTCAAGTAGATCTGGAGAACTCCCTGCTGTAGTAGCTAATGAACGGATAGTGATTGCTCTTAAGAGATAACTACTTACTAGGAGCATGTCTATGATGCTGATTTGGATTAGTCAGTAAACTTAAGTTGCATGTTTTTGGACGGTGGGTGGAAATCGGGGAACCTAGGGGAAACCCATGTGAGCACAGGGGGAATGTGTAAACTCCACACAGAAACGTCGACTGGCTTGGAAAGGACTAGAACCAGTGACGTTCTTGCTGTGAGGGAATAGTGCTAACCACTGGGCCATCGTGACACCCATCTAGGAAAGGAGGAGTAGTAGGCGTGGAAGGAGAGATTCTTCAAAAATAAGATGGCTGTGATATGGAACTTAGGGTATCGTCTGATTGGTGAATCATAAATTGGATAAAGCGGGACCAGCCGCAAGCAATCATAAGCATGATCCTCTCAAAATTAGTTTATAAATAAACTGCACATAGTGCTTTTCACAATAATTATCATTACAAAGCAGCTTCACGAAAGGTGCACATCATTACACAACAGTCAAAATCAGAAAGGTTAAGAAATTGTGTAAAGAGATGGCAGTATATAAAATGTTAACCTGCAGTTATAGAATATAAAGTGTCCTTCCAAAAGAAATAATATTTACATGCAGGGCTTGACATTCACACCCGCCAAATGCGGGCAAATTTCAGTGGTGGCGGGTAAGACAGACACTCCCACTAGCCACTTTGGCTGGTTGAAAATAATTTTCCTGGATAATAATTCTTAAAAGCAGGCTTCGACAATAAGGATGGTCCTATATGCAAACAAAGGCGATCTTAGAATTGAGAAGCAACATGACTGACAAAAATAATTACGTTTGAGCGAGTAATAGAAAGCAGGTGAATACCGGATGAGGGCGAGGCACTGGCGCAGTGCTGCTGCCTCACAGCAAGAAGGTCACTGGGTCGCTGGTTCGAACCTCAGCTCAGTTGATGTTTCTGCGTGGAGTTTGCATGTTCTCCCTGCCTTCGCGTGGGTTTCCTTTGGGTGCTCCGGTTTCCCCCACAGTCCAAAGACATGTGGTACAGGTGAATTGGATAGGCTAAATTGTCCGTAGTGTATGAGTGTGTGTATAAATGTGTGTGGATGTTTCCCAGAGATGGGTTGCAGCTGGAAGGGCATCTGCTGCGTAAAAACTTGCTGGATAAGTTGGCGGTTCATTCCGCTGCGGTGACCCTGGTATAATAAAAGGACTAAGCCGACAAGAAAATGAATGAATGAATAACGAACGAGAGGATAAGCACTCGCGCTAACAGCTGAGGTGATGTTTAAAATGCGTGCGCGCTCCCGTTTCCTTGCGTGAAGTAGTTAAATGGTGATCTGGAGCCAGGACAGATTACTGTGCATATGTTTTGTTAAATAAAAAGTATAGTATACAGCTATATTTTGCTTGTTTTGGCACATTTAAAATTTGTGGCTAAGAAATAATTAATTGTTTATGTTTGCTGTGGTCAGAGACAGGGGTATAGCGGACATTTTAAAAGTGGGGGGAAAGCTGTATGAAATCAAAGGTTTACATTCTTAATCAGCTTTTTCTAAATGATGTCTCTAAAAGTGAGGGGGACGTATCCGCCCTGTCCCCCCCGACTGAGCTCTAAATTATGTAAAATAAAAACTGGTTGTAATACTATAAAGCCATAAACTATTTGCTCATGATTATTGAGCAAGCTCATACACGACACACAAAAAGTGAAATGAATGAGAATGTGGAGATAACGCAAAATCTAAATTAAGTCATTTTAGCATGTCATAGTCATATTTGTGTGTATACAATATATTTTCCGAACAATAAAATTGTGGCTAGTGAAAATGGTGAGTGGCTAGTAATGTTGGAAAGTAGCCACAGTGGCTGGTGATAAAAAAAGTTAATGTCAAGCCCTGGATATATGTAATAATGTTACATGAAGAGTTCAGATGCAAAAACCTCTGAAAGCCATTTGCAATTTTCTTCATAAATAAGCATTTTTATTGCTTACTTGATTTTTTTCGTAACTTCAAGTTTATGGCAAAGAGTACACCCTTTCATGCTGCGTTCACACCAGATGCGGAACGAGTAATTTACATGTTAAGTCAATGCAAACGCGCGAATAGACATCCTGCGGCGCGAATGACGCGAAATTGCGCGAATGGCGCGATACGCGCGAATGGCGTGGTGCGAATTGAGCGTTTAGCACATTTTTGCGTGAATGACTCGAGTTCGTAAATCTGAACTTCAGCAGACATTTGCGATGCGTTTACCAATCAGAAGTTTGCTCTTGTGAGGGCGTGATTGTGACGTAGAACCTGTTGATGGTGTCCCAGGGGAAATCCTCCAGCCTACACCGACAACAAGTCATCAAACTGGGCTTGGCTCAGTCAGAAGCACTGCTGAAAGCCTTCGTCATCCAGGTTCAGTTTCTGGAGGAGTTTGTGAGCTCACAGAGCTGGATGCACCTCTGAAAGGATGTAGTGGACTCAGACACAACCCTAAACGTATCGACGCTGTTTTTCAGTCTTCATAAAGCACATAAACACTGTTATTTTCTTCATAAAATCCATGTTAGCCATTTAGGTATGAAGCTAGAGTCACCGGTCAAACAGAAGCTTTGCCCATCAGGCAAATCCGCGTCTGTTCTGAAGTGAATTTGACGCGCGAATGAAGCGGATTTGATACGTGAATGAAACGGGGTTTGACGCGCAAATGAAGCGATCAGTATTTAGGAAATATACAGTAAGTTACAAAGTCACCAATGGTACCAGATGAAACCATAAAACAGCTATGAGATCTTAAAATTTATGGAAAGAGTCTTAAAATGGTCTTAAAAGGTACTGAACTTCACTCTCTGATTCCTGTAAATACCCTTACTATGCCTACCATTGTGTCCCACAGAGGCGGCGTTCACCCTGCTGCTGTACTGGGAGCTGCTCCACTGGGAGGAAAGACCCCTCCGAGAGTTCCTGCATTATCCAGCGCAGAGCGAATGGCATCGCAAAGAGGGTCTCTGTCGTAAGGTCATCCACTACTTCAACAAAGGAAAGGTATTTACTGATGCAACTGAGTTTCAAGTCGTCTAGTATGTTTTGCCAGGGGCGTTGCTAGGGTCGAAAGGGATGGGGGCTTAGCCCCAAAGAAGTCAAGAGATTTTTTTTTCAGTTTTTCTCAAAATAGGGTGATGTGAGCATTGTGGTACTTTAAATACATGTAATGCCTGTTTCATTCATACTTGAGTAAAAGTAGTAGAACATTCCAGGAAATCCCCGAGAACGGAATAAACATATAAAGGCTTTAACTGTGTTCTTCCTGCCATTTTAGGTTTTTTCATAAAAATAAATTAATTTATAATCCGATGCTAACTGACATAGCATGTTACAATATAGCTATAAAATAATAAGCTAGATGCATGAACTCACTGTATAAGCTATATTAAGCTTAACTATTCAGTTTCGCGAAACAGTTGTATTACCTCATCAGCTTCAGCTCCTCAAAATAAATAATGAATGAATACCATGACAACATGACAACTGTCCCACTCCCACCTGCCGGTAGAAACAGGTACTGCTGAACAGCTGACTTTAAATACCTGACATAAAAGCTATGTTAAGTGGAATGCACGTGATGTATGTGGTAATTTTAAGATCTTGGATTTCAAAACAAATGTTATAAAACCTATTTTTATTTGTGCAACATTTTCCAAAAGATCAAGGGCTTTTGACAATACATTAGGGGCTTAAGCCCCCCATCAATCCCAATTCACCTGTACCGCATGTCTTTGGACTGTGGGGGAAACCAAAGCACCCAAAAGAAACCCACGCAAACGCAGGGAGAACATACAATCTCCACACAGAAACGCCAACTGACCCAGGAGACTCAAACCAGCGACCTTCTTGCTGTGAGGCGACAGCACTACCTACTGCGTCGCCTAACATTAGAGACCATTCACTCTTTTAAAGGCCTAAATATACCTAATCATGTACTTAATAATGTATTAAAGAGCCTCTATTATGGGTTTTTGAAACCCTTCCATGTAGTAACACAGCTCTAAGTGAAGTGAAATATCCAGCAAAAGCTTAAATCTGAAAGTGGACGGTCGTCTTTCTGACGATTGCTTCAGCAATCTACATGCTTACAAGGAGACATTCGTCAGATGTTTGTTAAAGGAAGGATCAGAAAAGACTATTAAAGTGTGGGACTCTGTCAGAGCTTGACAGGAACTTTATCAGTACAGAGCTCATGGATTAGTTTCTTCCTCCATTTCATAAGTGTAAGTAAATGGTTGCCTCCTTGTTTTCTCTAGCTTGTTTTACTTACGGATATAAATGCGTTTGGGAGCTTATGATCTACTGCCGCTTGTCCTTGCTATGGCCACTATCAGCTTTTCCTACACACGTGCAGCAGTCAAGGTTCAGAATAGTTTGGATGGATTATGGATTAATACTGAATGTGTGTCATGGTTAAGAATGGAGCAATATGCTGGTGTTTAATTGCACTGCTTTAATGCTCTCATGCACACACAGGTGAGGTGTCTGAATAACACTGTTGAAAACCGGGGTACTGTGTACTGCGATGTTAGTAAGTTAACTACTATGAAGCGTGTTTCCGTTGCAATCGGATCCTTTACCAATATTGGCGACTCAGGGGGTTCACAGACTGTACCAAGATGCTGAGAACCATGGGAGGGGCCAGTTGAAATTATGGGATTTTCCGGTATAATACCAAAATGGGTGGGTGGCTGGAGATGGGTGTAAAATACGGGAGACTCCTGGGAAAAAACAGGAGTGTTGGCAGGTATGCTCACACATGCACTCTGCACTCTGACTACTTATTGCAGGGTCCCCGCGGGGTCTTAAAAAGTGTTAAAAAGTCTTAAATTAAAAAATCGAAATTTATGGCTTTAAAAAGTCTTAAATTTGCTGTTCTAGGTCTTAATTATTTTTGCACAGGTCTTATTTTTGCGATGTCCATGTAACGCTACATCTAATGCTCATTTAAATTCTTTTTGTTTGTTTTTTGTTTTGTTTGGTTTTTGGAGTGTTGTAGTTCTTTATTTCACTAGTCCAATTGCAATTTGCGGTATTACAACTACAAAAAGGTCAACTTGCAATAGCCTATCAGCTTTCTGATATTAAACTCAGTGCGCGCGGCGAATGTGACATCATCGCTGTGTTTGCGGAAGTCCGCTTTGATTGCGCGCGACATGATTCCGGCTGGCATAGTATGCCCTTATTTCACTGACAAATGTGACAAATACGAGAGAGCGAATCTCTGCTCACGCGCCGGTTTTCCTTTGGACAAAACTGCTTGCGAGCTCTCAAAACACTGGCTGCTCATGTGCAAATGATCTGCTCTCGCTCCGTCGGACTTCTTTAGTGCTTTTGCTCTTCAGAGATGCTGCAGCATACTGTAGTATTAGGAATAGTGAACTGATAAAATGAAATACAGTGTAGTTTTACTACAGTAAAGTGTGTTGAATTGTAGAAAAATATACCCTATATTGTAAAAAAAAAAAACTTGTTGTGTTACCCTAGCAACTATAGTATTACCACAACAGAGTAATTGAAGTACTTTACTGTACTTTACAAAACACTGCAGAGCAGACTCTAGTTCACTTTATTTTAGTAATAAAATGGAATTGATAGTGGGATTTATTTTAAGAGTGAATAGTACAGTAGGCTATAATACCTAATTAAGTTTTTACCTATTTTCTATAACAGTTACATTTCTGCTTGCCAGAATGACCAATAATTATTGGCTAGAAATTGCAACAGCCATGGGAAAGGAGGAAAGTTTTTGTAAAACTTTGGAAAAACCTGAGTGATAAGTTTGTTAAAACAACAAAAAAGAGGCCCCTAAAAACATCTTCAATGATGATGATTATCTTTTTATTCGTCTGATTTTACTTTGTTTTTTTGGAGCGCCCCCTGTCATTTAAAAAAAATATCTCAATGGTGAACGTGTCAAGTATAAAAGCCTTAATCCATTTCGTGAGTTGTGCGATGCGGTGCCAGGTGAAAGTATAAATCTGCATTAAGATGTTTGTTTGTTTTTTTGTAGTTCAATGGTGCATTTAACTTTAGTACTGTTCAATTTAAATAACTTTATTTTACCCCTAATTTTGTGCTTTTACATTTTCTCTCGCGTGTTTTTCATATTGCGATATAGGTCTTAAATTTAATACTCAATGGTCTTAAAAAGGTCGTTAAAGGTCTTAAATTTGACATTATGATATCTGCAGAGACCCTGTTATTGTTGATAAGCCGTGCTGGACATTTCACTCTGTCTCACGCTAAATGCTGTCAACCAACTGCAACAGGCTGTCATTAGTCCAATCAGCACAGAATAGCATCTCGCTAAGAAGGCTTTAGAAACAAATTAATTGTTAACGATTCATATGGGAGTCGCTGAGATAATTAGGTAAAAATAAATGCATATTATAAGACAATAAAAGTGTTTTTTGACCTTGCATGCATATCAGTATGTTGTTGGAGACCCATAAAACCGAAATATGACTTTTTTCAATGTATAATAGGGACTCTTTAAAAGCATGTTAAAGTTGCGGTTAAGCTCACAAATGTTTGGTGCAATACCAAACTACGTCCTTGTGCAAATTGTCATGGGGGTCTAAAATGTCCATCAGTTGTAGCTTTCGAAATCCTTCATTCTAAAGGGCTCTTCAAAGTGGCCATGGTTTGGAACGATATTTCAATATGGCCGCCATGATTGCTGTCAATTTGAATTGTCCTTTAGAGATAATTGTCCTTTCCACGATGGACATCCAGCATTCTCCAGCCTCCTGCGCCTAGACTGCAGCTCTGAACAGGAAGTTTGACCAGAGGAGAAATGGTCATGCCCAACTAAGCCTGGTTTCTCTCCTTCACATTGGTCTGTTGGTGAAGTTTGTTCCTCCACTGTCTCCACTGTCCTGCAATGTTTGGGCCTTGGGGAGCTGCACATCTTCAGTGTTTCAACTTTCAGCAGTGAAGATCTGAACTTCAGCTCTGAACACTGGACTGACACAGCTTCAGTTTACTAGATCGTCTGTGTTCAGCTGCTGCCACACAATCTACATTGGAAAAGCGCTGGAGAAATAAATATGAATGGGATTGAATTTAAAGGGTGAAACATGCTGCCATGTGATTGGCTGATTGGAGGTTTTACACTAAAGAGCAGTTTAACACGTCTACCTAATAATGTGGCTGGTCAGTCTACTTAACGATCAGGATCTTTCTTATTTTATAAATTGCACATGAAACCAGCAGTCTTCTCTTGTTCTCTTCTCAGTGTTGGGAGTATGGCATCCCGCTGTGCCGAGAACTAGCCTTTCAGTACGAGTCCCTGTACGATTATCAGAGTCTCAGCTGGATACGGGTCAGTGCCTTTTGATGTTCTTTTTAGAAAACGTGCATATATGAATAGCGATTATATAACAGCACTTTGAGTGGACGTCGCAGCTATTAATGTACTGTTATGTATTATGCTCAGAAGGAGGTCAGCGCTGTGTGAATATTCAGCTTTTTCTTTCTGCACAGAAAATGGAGGCGGCATATTATGACAACATCATGGAGCAGCAGCGACTGGAGCCCGAGTTCTTCAGGGTGGGGTTTTATGGGCGGAAGTTCCCTTTTTTCCTCAGGGTGAGACTTTACTTCTATATGCTCTATTTCTTTGTACGAATAATAATTAACTTTATGTAAAACATGTGTTGTATATTTTTTTTTTTTTTCTCTCAGAATAAGGAGTTTGTTTGTCGGGGTCATGACTATGAAAGGCTTGAAGCCTTTCAGCAAAGAATGCTGGGGGAATTTCCTCAAGCCATCGCCATGCAGCACCCGAATCAACCAGATGAGGGCATTTTACAGGGTGATGCACAGTGTATCCTTCACCATAATGGGATTAAATGTTTGATGTATGCATGTGTTTATTCAGTTCGTCAGGTCCGTTGATTGACTGTTTCATTGATTTATATCGGTAGGATGGATGGATGGATGGATGGATGGATGGATAGATGGGTAGGTGGACGGACAGACGGATGGTTTGGTTGGTTGGCTGGATGGATGGTTGGATGGATGGATGGATGGATGGATGGATGGATGGATGGATGGATGGATGGATGGATAGATGGATGGATGGATGGATGGATAGATGCACAGATGGATGGTTGGTTGGTTTATTGATTTATTCCATTGATTGGTAGGTTAGTTGGTTGGATGGATGGATGGATGGATGGATGGATGGATGGGTAGGTGGGTGGGTGGACAGACGGATGGTTTGGTTGGTTGGTTGGTTGGTTGATTGGTTGGTTGGTTGGCTGGTTTGATGGATGGATGGATGGATGGATGGATGGATGGTTAGTTGGATGGATGTATGGACAGATTAATGGTTGGTTGGATGGATGGATGGATGGTTAGTTGGATGGATGTATGGACAGATTAATGGTTGGTTGGATGGATGGATGGATGGATGGATGGATGGATGGATGGATGGATGGATGGATGGATGGATGGATGGATGGGTGGATGGGTGAGTAGGTGGGTGGGTGGACGGACGGACAGACGAATGGTTTGGTTGGTTGGTTGGTTGGTTGGCTGGTTTGATGGATGGATGGATGGATGGATGGATGGATGGATGGATGGATGGATGGATGGAGGGTTCCTGGCTGGATGGATTGATGGATGGATGGATGGATGGATGGATGGTTGGTTGGATGGTTGGTTGGATAGACAGATGGATAGACAGGTGGATGAATGGATGGTTGTTTAGATGGATGAATGGATGGATAGGAGGATGGATGGAAGGATGGATGGATGGATGGATGAATGAATGGATGAATGAATGGATGGATGGATAAATGGATGGATGGATGGTTGGTTGATTGGTTGGATGATTGGTTGGTTGATTGGTTGGATGATTGGTTGGTTGATTGGTTGGATGATTGGTTGGTTGGTTGGTTGGTTGGTTGGTTGGTTGGTTGGTTGGTTGGTTGGTTGGTTGGTTGGTTGGTTGGTTGGATGAATGGATGGTTGGTTCATTGATTAATTCCATTGATTGATTGATTTGTTAATTCATTAGTTCCTTCATTCGTTCATTACATTATGTGGTCATTCTTCCATCCTTCATCACTTAATTCAACTATTTATTTATGCATTAGTTTATTTTATTATGATGTGCACTCCTTATTTTTTAGCAAAAATATTTTTTTAAAGATGTATGTTTGACGTGTTTGCCTTCATTGACAGGACAGTATATAAACAGGAAGTGAAGGTGGAGAGAGCAAGGGAGGAAGGATTATAGAAAGGTCCACATGCCAAGATTTAAATGTGGGATGCCTGAAGCGCAGTTGGTGCAATCAGTGCAGACAATGACATAAACTCTTGACAGCATTCTTATTTCCAGTTTGATTTATTCGCCTATACTACAAGTTGAAAAAAAACAGTAGCGGTGTTTTGCCTTGACATAAGCTTTGCTAGACCTCCAGATCTACGCCGTGTCTGCAGTTCCTGAAAACATGGACGTTCTTCAGATGGACCGCGTGCCCGACCGCATCAAGAGCTTTTACAGAGTCAACAACGTCCGACGATTCAGATATGACCGACCATTCCACAAGGGTCCTAAAGACCGGGAGAATGAGTTCAAGGTAAAATTATGCCTCTCTTCACTTCTGGATTATGATGAACCGCATGTTACTTAAAGTGTTGTTGTGTTTTCAGAGTCTATGGATCGAGCGAACCACACTAATCCTCACCCACCCTCTGCCCGGCATATCCCGCTGGTTTGAAGTGGACAAGCGAGAGCTGGTGGGTTAATCTGCATAATCTTTAATGTGATCAGCTCGTTTACATGAATATTCTTAACCTGTTTGTGCTTAAAGTGATAATTCACCCTTAATTATAATAATCATTACTGAATTATGCACTACTTATACTTATTTTTAGCCCTTTTCATTTCCCTTTTTTTATATGTTACTCTAAATTACAAGGGAACATTCATCCATATTTTGACATTTGATAAAGGTGATTTAAAACATTAAAGAAGATACTTTACTTGTATTTGATATGCTTTCTATGTATGTAAACTCGAATGGGAAAATACTGCAGTAATCCATAGTAAATATTTTTTAAATCATACTATAAAATACTACTGTAGTATTAACAATGGTAAACTGATTTAACTGTAATGCTGTAGTATAAACTGTGGTGTAGTAAATATAACCTAAAGTATTTGTTTATATTACTGTATTTAGTGTATTATCATAGTAGCTGTAGAATTACAAGATTATTCACTATAATCTGATTCAGAAACACATATATAGTACGTTACTAATATGTTTACGTTCACAATTCCTTCACGTACGTAAAATTAGAAACTTTTAATCATCAAATCATGCCACACAAAGACTAAACTCAAGAGAATAGTCAAAATATGTAATAAATGTCAGTTTAACAAGTGGATTTGCTGAAGATAAATGAGGTGTGTACCTTCTGCCTGTCATGTGTTGTAGGTGGAGGTCAGTCCACTGGAAAACGCCATTTATGTGGTGGAGAACAAGAACCAAGAGCTGCGCACCCTGATCAGTCAATACCAGCACAAACAGCTGCACGGAAACATCAACCTGCTCAGCATGTGCCTGAACGGCGTAATCGACGCCGCCGTCAACGGAGGAATCGCCAGATACCAGGAGGTGAACACCAAATTTGAACACCAAATTCACTCGAAGCTATCGGGCATATGGCAGTCAATGGTGATAAGTTAAAAACAAACACTTACAAGCAAGTCCAAGGCTGCGTCCGAAATTGCCTACTACTATAGTAGGTACTACATTTGAATTGGGATTTTCTACACTACCATAAGAAAAGTACATTCTATATAGTATGAATGGAACTCGGACATACTACATTCGCCGTTTGTAATGATCACATGACATACCCACGTCAGTTGCGTCACTTCTCTGTCGATTCTCGTACGTGGCTTAAAGGGGTAGCATAGCATCCATTGGATAGGATATTCCATCATGTTCTGAGTTTGCAGGTAGCCTATATGTTTCAATTAAATAGCATTTTAGTGTCTCTTATGTGAATTTATATTTCATTTTTTTACAGAGGTATATTATTTCACACTTCATGCTTCTAGTAAGATTCTGCAGTGTGAATGCATGAAGGAACATTCCGAAGTGAACCACCAGTTGGTCTGAATATTGATTCCATTTGCCATTTTGGCTAAGATCATCCTAAAATGTCTGTAATTTATTATTGTTGTAGTTGGTCTAATCTATCAGCGAGATTGACTTATTCTTCAATGCAGAAGTGCACTTGTTTTTGTGATTGTTTTAATACTTCGGATTCAGTTGCCTATGGGAGAAATGACTAGGAATTATAAATGGCAAAAAATGGACTCTCTCTCTCGCTCTACAAGTGTGTTCATGACTATACATAGGAAAAGAGAATACTATAATGAGAAATGATCAGTTTTCAACATCAAGCAGCAGAACAAGCTCTTTTTAATGTCTAAACATCAGTGGAAGTGAATGAGACCGAAAGTCTTGAGCCAAAAACATTCCAATGGCTGTGTCCGCTCAGATTTAAAGAATATAGTCAATATATTTAAATTGTTAGTATAATTGTTTTCACGCTTATTGTCTCTCAGGCATTCTTTGATAAAGAGTACATTAGCAGTCACCCTGAGGATACGGAGAAGATCACCCAACTCAAGGACCTGATGCAAGAACAGGCAAACACATATTTTTAACTATCCAGAAATAAAAATTTAAAGGTCAAGTAATCATATTTTCAATCATTATTTATATTAAACTACCCCACAGGTTCACGTCCTCGGTGTGGGTTTGGCCGTCCATGAGAAACTGGTGCACCCAGAGATGCGCCCCCTGCACAAGAAGCTGATTGATCAGTTCCAGATGATGAGGAGCAGTCTTTGTCATGTGAGAGCTCACATCAGCTTTTCATACACATTTGTAGACAACAATTTAGTTTTGAAAGGAACATTTAAATAAAGACCCCACTCATTTTATACTACCCATCTGATTATGCTACCACACTGTATTTGAATAGCTCTGAGGTTGGGGTTAGAGATTAGGCGGAGGGATGTCACAGACGAAAGTAAAGAGGGGTGGAGGTGGGGTTTGGAAGGGCAGTTGAGGGGCGGGGGGTTTTGCTGACAAAAGTTAAGAGGGTTGGGAAGTCGTGGAAAAAAGTGAAGAGGGTTGGGGAGTCACAGAAGAAACTGAAGAGGGTTGGGGAGTCGCGGAAAAAATTAACAGGGTTGGGGAGTCACGGAAGGCATTGAACAGAGTTAGGGAGTCATGGAAGAAAGTGAAGAGGGTTGGGGAGTTGCGGAAAAAAGTGAAGAGGGTTGGGGAGATGTGAACAAAAATGAAGAGGGTTGGGGAGTTGCAGAAGAGAGTAAAGAGGGTTGGGGAGTTGCAGAAGAGAGTAAAGAGGGTTGGGGAGTCGCAGAAGAAAGTAATGAGGGTTGGGGAGTCGTGGAAGAAAGTGAAGAGAGTTGGGGAGTCGCGGAAGAAAATGAAAAGAGTTGAGGAGTCACAAAAGAAAGTGAAGAGGGTTGGGGAGTCGTGGAAAAAAGTGAGGAGGTTTGTTGAGTCGCGAAAGAAAGTAAAGAGGGTTGGGAAGTCGCGGAAGAAAGTGAAGAGGGTTGGGGAGTCGTGGAAGAAAGTGAAGAGGGTTGGGGAGTCGCGCAAGAAAGTGAAGAGGGTTGGGGAGTCATGGAAGAAAGTGAGGAGGTTTGTGGAGTCGCGAAAGAAAGTAGAGTTGGGGAGTCATGGAAGAAAGTGAAGAGGGTTAGGGAGACGCGGAAGAAAGTGAAGAGGGTTGGGGAGTCATGGAAGAAAGTGAAGAGGGTTAGGGAGTCGCGGAAGAAAGTGAAGAGAGTTGGAGTCATGGAAGAAAGTGAAGAGGGTTAGGGAGTCGCGGAAGAAAGTGAAGAGGGTTGGGGAGTCATGGAAGAAAGTGAAGAGCTTGGTGGTGCGATTGTGCATGTGAGGAATTGATAAAATGAGGTGCTGGATCAGATTTCAGAGGTGCCAGATCCAGATCAAAATTAAGCCAAGGTGCTACCTACTTTTTGAATGCAAGGTAGGACAATCTGACAAGGTCTGACGAATCGACAGATCACAGATTCAGGTTCTTAATTCATATCTGTTGGTTTTAGGTAAATACCTTTATTTTTCTTGTACAAGTTAAAATACTCTTGCCTTTAATTGTTTCAGGGTAGCAAAACACAAAAAATGACAACGCATCCTGCACTCATGGATGTGTCCAAATGTTTGTCCAAACAAATTATATGGACAAATTATTTACCATGGGGTCAGACATTTTAGTGTATTTTATTGTAAGAGGCTGCAAATGAGCAGTTGCGGTAACTTGCCGACAACTGTGCTGCCGGAAGTTACCACAACTGCTCATTTGTGGTCTCTTACCTGTAAATGCATTTACAGTAGTTCATTTTCATTTTACAGAAAAATAGCCTTACCACAACTTCTTTTTATGGTAATTCCCTTTACCACATTTTAATTTACAGTATGATGATTTTTACAGTTCTTTCACTGTACTAAACTACACTTTACAATAGAAGTAAATGCAAATATTTTTTTGTATTTACTATTGAATTTAATAAAATACAAACAAGTGACTAATTTATTCATTAACTGTCTCATTTGTGTCTTCCACTACAATAGCAGCTCTTGATTTATTTGATTACAGTAGAATACAGCATTTCCTATTTTGCAGGAAGTTACTGTAAAAGTTTTAAAATGGCCCACAATGCAGTGCATATTACGCCCCATTCACACTGGGGCTTGTCTAAAATTGGGGCTGACACTATCTTCATAGCAGCGTCAGCAAACAAAATTTGACTGCAATCGGCTACAATCTAAGCTAGGGTATTTGCATAAAGTGATCTGATTGGCTGATGATTCCGATGGCTTGAAAAGTTGAGAAATTAACAGCTTCTGCAACGTCACTGACGGATCTACAAATCAGTGTCAGAAACGCCTGATGTCACCCATTCAAAGTGAATGGGAAGCGTTGATGATTCGCGTGAATCAGTGTTACAGTTGTGAACTGTAAATGTTTGTGGTGTTTTACCGTTTTTTGTGGGGGGGTTTGCAATAAATAACTGTAACATTGTGGCAAAGTCTTAACAGTGTGCATTAGCAACAATTTACTTGATTCTCTGGTAATATTCTGGATCAGACCCTCTTCATTTGTAATATAACCAGGCATATCACATGAAATATGTTTTTCTTGAGCGCAGACAGTGTGGATATTCAGAGTAGTGTTTCTATGTGGCCCTGCAGGGCCTGCCGGGTCTGGATAAGCTGAGTCCGGCCTGCTCTGGAGCGAGTACTCCACGCGGAATCCTTGCCACACACAGTCCTATGAGTCCTGAGAGTATCAAACTCATGCACCGACACAGGTCAGTACACCACTACACACAGTTATGATGGATATGTTGTGTGTGAACTATGTATGTGAGCTTATGAATGTTTGAGTCTAAATGTGACAGTAATTGCAATTTTAGATGTTGGAAGTCAAATCTGATTTCTTTGGAATTAAACAGCACAACACATTTCCTTAAAGAAGAAATCTGGACAAATTCAATCTAAATCAGTATTATTTTAGATATTTTCACATTGTAAATATTTACATATTGTATTTATCTACATATTGTAAATGATTTCTATTGCAAAGTTTCATTTCATATAGGTGTATTTCTTGGTATATGATTTGTGTGGCATCTCACAGGAAACTCTGTAAATCTGTAGTAATGAATTTGTCATACATATTTAAATGTAAGAGAGATTCCTGCAGTCTAGAGACAGCCCTTCCTTTCTCTTCACAAACACTCCTTGACCGTGTATTCCTCATGAACACATGCGCACATACTCATGCTGCCCACCCTGAACACACGAGCTTCAGCTCCGCCACGTCTCTCTCACGTCTTTCTCTGTTTGTTCCTCTCTCCCTCTCTCTCTCTCTCTTCTGTCACTTCTTCTCATATATGTCTGACATCTTTCTTTGTGCATGCATTACTCCTTTGTTCTGTCTCTTTCCTCCTTTTTTGTTCATATTGGCACGGCTGCCTATGTCCTACCACCCTATGATCTTCTTTTCCTTCATCTTGATTCATTTTCCCCATTCCCCGCATGCATTTCTCTTCCTGCTTTTCTTTCCCATCCCTGTTTTCCGTATCCCTCTCCTCCCCCTGTCTGTCTCTTTCTCTGTCTTCCTCTAGCCCTCTGAATGTGTTGGGCTCTGTCCGACATTCCTCCTCTTCTCTCTCCTCTCACACCTCCAGTGAGACAGGAAACCTCCTCATCATGACGGACAGTATGATGGAGCACCCAGAGGACCTTTATCGCATGCAGGTGGGCTACATGAACTCATAAGGTACATCTCAGCATTCATTTAGGGCACCCAAGCCGTATAATATACAGTCCTGTAGCCAAAGGGGGCTCGGGTGGTTCAGAAGACCCACCCCTCACTGACAAAGGTCCAGACTTTGTCCCATACATGAGCTCATTTGTCCTGTTTAGATTTGCTATGCAAATCGTGGTGAAAATAACCTGTTGAAAAAGTCTTTAAGACTAAGCGGAACCCTTCATTGGCTGTTGCTTCGGCGTGACTTCAACTAATCAGTTTTTTGCCAATGCTAACACATATTTTTCATGAGTCCAACATCCAGCTGTGCAGGAAAATGTACCCAAGTCCCCTATAGTCTATGTGTTTGGATTGTGGGGGAAACCGGAGCACCCGGTGGAAACCCATTCCAACACGGGAAGAACATGCAGAAATGCCAACTGACCCAGCCGAGGTTTGAACCAGTGACCTTCTGGCTGTGCGATGATTGTGCTACCCACTGCGCCACCGTGACACCCAAAACATAAATGACCAAACAAAATGACCAAACAAAGATTGACCAATACAAAGGTGTGAAGCACCAAAAGCGGCCCATATCTAAAATTAAGGGTGTCACGATTTCGATTTTAAATCGAAATCGATCGAAATTTATGCTCAATTTTGATTATCGAATCAAAAAATAGAATCGTCAATGCTGCCACGCCCCCATGTCACGTCAACTTGGTTTGCAAAGTGGCAAAAAAACATGCTTGTTGAAGTGCTTGTTAAACTGCAGACGCAGGAGACCCATTCGACAGAGCTTCCTCTCCTCTCTCAATGAAGTCGCTGGTGTGGAAGTATTTTGGATTTCCAGTGAGTTATGTTGACAATGTTCGTGTTGTCGAAAAAAAAAAAAAAACACAGTTTGCAAGCTCTGCTATGTACGTTTTAGGGTTCGTCCGATAGACAACACCCATAGATATATACATTAGATGTTGCCTGACCTATTGTTCTCTATTGGACGGAATGCATCAATAGCGCCGCCATCTTGCTACAGGGTAGCGCTCCTTTGAAATGAATGCGGGACCAAGGTACAGTGGAGGACTGTGGCCACATAAAGCCAGAAATATACACATATATATCTATGATTGGGAGTTTTCCTGGATGTTAGTATGTAATTTTTTTTTTACTAATTATGAAAATTTTAATTTTACATCACTTTTCTACATTGATGGATCAGTGACCGCACGGGCATTCCTGACAAAGAGCTTGTGTTTCTGTGTAGAGAAATGTACTATTCACCCTCCCTGTTAAATTTAATCTAATCATGTCCTGAAACACACCTCCTCTCCTGCCTTCACTTCTCATACTGACGGAGGGAGCGATTCGTTTGTGAATGAATCCCCCGAATGACTCTTTCACCAACGTTAGCCGACAATAATACAAGTTTCTAATAATATCTCGTTGTCATATTTATTTTGCATTGTTTGCTGATTTTATTCAACAAAACTAGCATAAGCCGAGTGTTTAGTGCGAGTTGGAGCTGCTTTGCCGTATGGTGAATGCAGTAAGTGACTGTTATCATCAATAACGTTACCTGTTTAGCACAAAAGTTTAGAACATACAAAAACAGAAAAAAACTTAATATTACATATGAAATGTTCTGCCTTTGTGCTTTGTTTTCTTTGTTTGCTCGTTACTACACCCGTAGACAGCGCTAAAGTTCAGCATCTTCATGTAATAACACCTGTCTTGACTAGTGCGGTTGAATAACATTTGTCCTGGGAGCACTGTACCAATGTGGCGGCACTATTGACGCATGCTCAGGGTCCCTATGCGATATCTAGTGTATATATCTATGGACAACACCGGCATCGCGATCCTCCGCCCCGCCACCATTGCAAATCCACTCGCGAAAGGTACACACTCAGGCCCTGTTTACACTAATATGTCTTTGTTTTTAAATGGCATTGTAGAACGACAAGAATTTGACATCCACAGTGGCGTGTAGCATTTCTGAGCAGCCCTCCTTCCTCACTACCACTGAAAACGCACATCATGTGACCACACACACTCATTCACACAGACACAGATGCACACACATTCATGCGCTCGAGACAGCAGGTCCAGGTAGTCAGAGGATCAATAGACTGCTTCAATCTTTCACTTACTTGTAATTATTCATTTTAGCGAACACCTCAGATACTGTTGGCTGGTTGCTGTTGGTCGTGCACCTTTTTTTTATCGACGCCATTATAACGACACAGATCACTGCCAATTCACGAGTCCCGCATAAAAAGTGATTGACAGGTGGTAATATGTGTGTAACTTATCTTTATTCATTTACTGTATGATTTGTTTATGGGTAAAACAAAGACCGTGCAGGTCAGGTAGTTTAAACGGTAGGCTACAAATAATTAATTTGTTATTAATTAACTAATTATTCATAATCGAAAATCGAATCATGACTTTAGAATCGAAAATGTAATCGAATCGAGGATTTGGAGGATCGTGACACTCTTATTTAAAATGATTTGAATACTATCTTAGCTAAGAAATCCAAAAATGTGGTTCGGGTGACCATCTGACAAGCTATTTCAGAATAGTGCTCAAAATGTCACTAAAATGCACTTAAATTTCAGAATTAAATAGAAAACGAGGGGTATGATTGCAAAAATGAACCACCTCTTTGGTCAGGCTGGCTACAGACCTGTCATAACAACCCCTTAGTGGCGCAGTATTGGCATTACAATTCAGCACAGTAAACTAACCATTTATGCCCATTTTTACTGCCAAAGGTACCAAAAACGCAAACCTTACCGTGCCACTTTTTTGGCACCCTTTTTAAAGGGTAAGCCAGTGGGCGACCATTGACTTGATTGTGTCCTGGCCTTAATAGCACCCCAACTACCATCCATTACCCGAGGCCTATGTGCCTATTAGAAAGTGCCTAACCATGTGCTAACACCACTAGCAGTACCTTAGAGAACACTCATAAGACCCCAGCAACCACCAATCACTTGGAGGTTCATGCACATCATGATTTTGCCAAGTACAATGCAATCCTGGATTAACATCTATGTTGATCCTGGATCCTAATTTTTGTTCTAAGATGTAATCCACACCTATAGGTAACTCCTAAACCTACCCAGAACTGTAATTATTCCCAAAATCAAAGGGGAATAATAGTTGGATAACAATCATGTAGAAGCGGATGAACCAAACCATGAACATAAAACTTAACATAAACTGTGAACATATCGCTTAATTATGATTGGCTCCAGGATCAACATGGATTTTACTACAGGAACATGTCCTACCAAAATCAGGTTTGCGGTGGTTTACTTAGCAACATCTCAGAACAGCTTAGCAAGCACCTAACACCTGACCATCTGCGTAGTAAAGGCCCTGGTATACTTCTAACGAATTCAAAGAACAAGCAGAAATAACATCATTTCAAACAAAATCCAGCCAAAGTGAAGTTCCTTTTGACTGTTGTTTTTGCAGTTTGAAACATCTCACCTAGGTGAACTTTTAGGGAGTTTGTTTTTGGCTCTTAAAAACCTTTGAGCTACCACTGGTTCCTGGCAATTAATGTGTGATTTTGTCATACTTTTGGCATCTCATTCCAAGGAGGTCAGAAAAGTGAACAACATATAAAAACCATAGACTGTAAAATATATGGACGTAGTATCCTTGACGTCACCCATAGGTTTCTAAAGAGCGCAAAAGAAGCCACAAGTAGGCGCGGCGAACCGTCGCCATTTTGTTCGCGCGTCATCACACCCACGGCGGGATACCAAACAAGGGCAAAGAGGCGGAGGGTGAGCGGAGCTACAGACACCTGCTGACAGTTTGCTTAGACCTGGTTCAGACACACTTTACTTTGGGAGAACGCTTAATACTTTATCACCTGCGACTCGTTTGTATTCTGACCACTTGTGCTTGGTTGTGCACTATATCAATAAAGTGTTTAGACTTGTAAAAACACTGTAGTAATACACAGAGCCACTAAACATTGTTCTTATGACGTTTTTCAACAGGAGGAAAACGCAAATTACTTCCAAACACTTCAGATATAGTCTGTGTTAGTTAATGTAAGACTATTGATGAAATCCAGCATAACACTGTATGATAACGCTTCAGATGACTGTTCTAGAGCCTACAGCTAATCAATTCGTCAGATTCTGCAGTGCGTTACTGCTCTAAATATAAATATAAACGATAAATGATCTTAAATAAAACAAATACATGTATAAAGATGGTATATAAGTATATAACTTTACTCACATGGGAAACGGAGGCCACGTGAATGGTTTGTAAGCACAATTAAGTGCACACAGCATGCCATGCCATCTAATAATTGTAGGAAACAAGTCCAAAAGGCAGTTGACTGTGTAAAGCCACATAAAACAACACAGAAATACGATAAATATGTCGAGTTCAGTGGCTAATCTGCAGGATTCAGCTGAGGTGACGTGACGGCGACCAACGAGACCTAGCTGTCACTCAAGTGGCCACACCCTTAATTATGCAACCTTAATATAACTTAATATAAAGGAAACGGATGAGTTCTAAAAAAATTCACCCCCCTCACAGTTGTCATGAAGGGTAATATTAGCTGTATTAACTAAAATCTTTTTTGTACCAGGCTGTAAACACTTTTTTTCTGCTGTAAAGTTGGCCATTCTAACAGTGGGCTCAATTGAAATTTGCTCTATTTTGGACCCAGGAGCGACCAGGACTAGCGGAATTTCGGATGAATTGCAGTTTTAGTTACTTCCGTATTGGCTTCCTGAGGGAGAGCGGGAGGTTGCCGCTTGATAAAAACTAACAAGTAGCCACTTGATAATACTAGAGTCAAGTAGCAGTATCCACACCTCGAGGATTATCCACACCTGTCCTTTAACTCACAGAGAGAAACTGCTACTGCAGTGTGGGAGTGTAGGAAGGATTTAAAAGAGTAAACTGTCAACCAGGCTTTTCAAACTTTTTATTGCCCTCAAACTAAGAACGAAAAATAATTTTGAAGAACTTTGAAGTATACCAGGGCCTTAAACCAAAGAAACCACTCACAACCCTCGCAACTCCCTGACAACCCTTCAAAACAGCTTAGCTTCTGCAGAACAACACCATTAGCCAGGATCAACACTACGAACTAACAAAAACACTGAAGATGATCTTTTCTGTTTTCCCCATGTAACCTTTCAGCCCAGTCCATCGTCATCCAGCTTGAGTTCGACGCATTCAGCTCCGTCTCAGATGATCAACTCAGGGCACGGCAGCATCAGAGGTAAACACCAATAACGTTTTCATATTAACATCAGGATTAACGTTCACGATTCCCAAATTGAGATTACTTTTAAACTATTTCCAGTTGGATCCCCATCACTACCTGACAGATACAGACACAATCGGGAGATGTTGATGCTTCTGCCACCGCACAGGGATCGGCCCAGTAGTGCCATGTACCCCAATATAACTGAGAATGGACAGGTGGTGTGTTTACCTTTCAAACAATTAATTTAGTTTAAAATTCATCAAACTATCTGGAACTAAGTTTTGAAGGTGAGATGATGTCAGCAATAAATGTTTATTTCCCTTTTTTTCACCAGCCTACTAATCATCAGAGGGCTCTGTATCATCAAGTCATTGGTCCCTGCAAACCTTGCAGTGACCCCAATCTTTCGGTGGCTGATAAAGGTATGACTGGGTGTGTATAATTCTCTGAACCCACTGTAACTCACAATCTCCTGATTGTGCAGAATTACAATCCATGCTCTATCTGAAATCCCCCCCAACTCTGAATGATTTTTTGAATATGCAACAATTCTGGCGTAATATCCTGACCATGTAAATCTGATATGTTTGTTGGTGAACAGCGTGCTTAAGTTGGTCACCCTCCTGTACCAGCTACAAAACATCCTCTCTTGTTAGGCTAGTTTAGCAGCCGGCTGGTAACAAACCTTTGATCAGACCTACCTGAGATATCTGGTACCTTCCCATGTGGGTCCAGCAGCTTAGTGATGTGGTTTCTGCTCTATTTTTCTGTCCTCTTGCAGTGTTGTCGGCTCCCAGCAGCTGGAGTTTGGACAGTGGCACCAGAGACACTCTGCCGTTCCTCTCTGCTCATGTCGGGAGTGTGATGGCCCCACCTGTTCCCCCTCGCACCCTTCCTCCCGGTAAGAAACAGCATCTTTAGGAAAAGGTGTTCATTTGAGAAAGTGTCATGAAACCATTGCTTTTATTTTTGGAATGTTATGAAAGATGAATTATGTCATTGGTTACCTTAGATCAGGGGTGCTCAATCCTGTTCCTGGAGATCTACCTTCCTGCAAATTTCAGTTGCTACCCATATCAAACACACCTGAACCAATTAATTAGGACCTGAACTGCACTTGATAATTACAGGCAGGTGTGTTTGATATGGGTAGCAACTGAAATCTGCAGGAAGGTAGATCTCCAGGAACAGGATTGAGCACCCCTGCCTTAGGGTGCTTTCACACCTGTGAATCGATTCAGTTGTTCTGAAACAGAGATTACAATTGTTACATTGTTGCTCTTTGCTCTTGGAGCGGTTTGCTTTCACATTGCATAGTTTCTAATCGGACCAAAAGAGCTAAAACAAGTCACGTGCGAGTAAACTCTCTTTACATTGGTCAGAGTGTCAGGGTTTATTTTGCAGCGTCCCGCTAAGCTGTCAGGAGAGGTGGTGGTTTGGTGGTGATTGACAGGTTGCGCGCGCACGACGTGTCTTAGGAGAGACGCGGTGGGGAGGGGTTAGAAGGGTGCGCGACGATGCCTATTTGAGGACCGGGAGGGAGACGCGAGATTACCGGGAGATCATCACTCGTTTGCGGGCATCCGGAGACTCGCGAAACTTCCCGCCCTACTCATAATTCTCTCTTCATATAGCCGTAAGCCTTTACATGTCCATAAAACACTGTGATATAACCGCGCTCGGATCGGATCGCTTTGTCACTGCAATCGAACCGCTCCAGGGTTCGTTTCAATCGAGCCGAGACCACCTCATTCAAGCGATCTCGGAGCGATTACTTTGGCGCAGAACAGAGCACGATTGCCCTGTTCACATATGCCAAACGAACCGCGCTAACTGGGAAAACGAGACACGTTCCAAAACAAAAGTGTAGGTGTGAAAGCACCCTTGGATATTTTCGGCATGGCAAGGTGCCACAAAATATCTATTCCGTGATGCAAGCTGGTTAACAGGCTTTTGGAATGTGTGTCTAACAAAGAGTGCATATAGTATATGGAAGATTTTGTGAACTTGTGAAGCCAGTAGAGTTTTTAGTTCGATTGCATCTTGAGGGACATATTTGTATCACATGGTTGTGTACTTAAATCCATATCGAGAAGTAAATGGGTGGTTGGAATATAGCATCATTTTGTACACAACACAATAAGACCCTGAAAGCCTTTAACTTATATCACAGCTCCAACAAAATTTGTAGTTGCAAGTGGAGAATATTAAAGTGATATTCCCATTCTATTTGGACAAAACATTACACACCAACACCACTACTTTTTGTAGTAATTTTTGAAGGATTCGGATTTCTGCTTTCCAATATCCTTACTACACAAAGTCTGTTTTGAATAAAAAGTCGAATCACTTTAAAATAATTAACCGTAAAAACAGTAAAATCACTTTTAGACATTTTAGATAGTATTAACTCGTTGATAATAACAATAGAAACAGTTGCTTCCAGTCCTCAGCCCTCAGTTCCACTCAAGGTCTCCGTCACCTCTGACCTAGATTGGTGGCTTCTGAAAATAGTTATAAAGAGACAGGCAAATGCACTGAAAATGCTTATATTAAGCAATGTGTTAACTTATTCATTAATTAAAATCAATTCACAGTTAAATACTGAGAAACAGGATGATGAAAAGGATAAACGTTGGTCCATGATGAGACGGATTGGAAAGCAGAAATTCGAATCCTTCATTTTCTATTACAATTTGCCTACTAAATTTCACCTTTTTCACTTCATTTATGCCTCACATTCATTTATAGGAGAATGAGAGAAAGAAAACACATCATTAAATACTAAGAAACAAATACTAGTCTTTTAATTTTGATTATTATAATAATATGCATCCTGTCAACTACCCGAATGTGTCTAAAAAGTAGCCTCCTCCTTTTCATTTCAGTAGATTTCCCTACATCTAAAACATCAATCCTTTGCTGTTAGCATAAATCCTCACATGATTGAGTAATTTCCTGGTCATTCCCTCTATCCCAGCCATTACCCTCCTCTGAACGTCAGCTAAGTTCAGAAAGAGTCCTTGATAGTGCTTGCTGAGTGAGCGCATGCCGACCTGTGTGCGGGCAAGTATATACCGGCGTGTGCTCTTTCCAACCCTGGTTGTCCAACTGTGTCTCCCCCTTTAGGACACTTCTCGATGCACTTTGATGCTTTCCACCACCAGATCAACGAACTCCCTCCAGCTCTCCCCGCGCGCTCCTTAAGAAAGGTATCCTCCGCCTAGATGTGTCCTGTTAGTGCTCATCATGCATGTCCGCGCTAGCATTCCACGATGTCTAATGTCCTGTTAACCTCAGATGTCCCCACCTGTTCTCCAGCCAAAACACCCAGAGCCGAATTGTCCGCCAGTCTGCTTTTGGTTATAATTGGGTTGTTCTTGTCCCTAAGATGCTGAAAGTGTTTGGGTTCATTATGTAATTGTTTCATGTGCATCTGTATATGTGCGCATCTATAGAGCAATTTGTGTGTATGTGTGTGCATATGTGTGCTTGAGATTGTCGCTTCTCCATTATGAACTGGAGATCAGTAGGATGCAAGTGAAGGATGATGACTATAGGGTGACTGATAAAGTCAAATCTGCTTCCGTCATCCAGAGACCTAAACTTCAGGTCAGAGAGTAGCTTTAAATCAGAAGTGCTGAAGCCTGCTCCTGAAAAACAACTTGCTATTTTGATTGATATACCAGAAGTAGCCATAGAATTAAATTGGGTTTGTTTGGCAGTGTTTGCTTTAAATTTACTGCTTATGATGGGAAAGTCCTTGTGCCCAAGTGATAGGACAAACATTCTGTTAAAAAAGGGCATACTTCAAATTAAAGCTACATTAAAGCAATACTCTAATTTTAATTAAAAAATAAGTTTTGACAATGTTCCTGTTCAAAGCTTTAATCTTCCGTAGTTACATTGTGTATTAAAATAGACGGAAAACGAAAAGTTTCTATGTTCAAGGCTGATATGGATAGCAATTATACTCTCAGGTGAACACATAGTAGTTTTAATATTTTATCCCTGGCTCTTCCTTACGATTGTTAAATAGTGCTTGGTTTTTTTGTAGCCCATACATTGCAAGGGGTTTAAAATGTCTTATGGAGTAGATCAGGAGTGGCCAACCCTGTTCCTGTAGAGCCACCTTCCTGTAGATTTCAGTTGCTACCCATATCAAACACACCTGAACCAATTGATTTGAACACCACGTGATAATTACAGGCAGGTGTGTTTGATATGGGTTGCAACTGAAGTCTGCAGGAAGGTGGCTCTACAGGAACAAGGTTGGCCACCCCTAGAGTAGATTAATGAACTCAAATTTTGAAACTCATTCATTCATTCATTTTCTTTTTGGCTTAGTCCCTTTATTTATCTGGGGTTGACACAGCGGAGTAAACCGCCAACTTATCCCTTCCAGCTGCAACCCATCTCTGGGAAAAAAATTCTGGAACTCAAATCATTGATTTCCAGTGGCTGCATTTATAGCAGAAACTCCAGCGAAAGATCACCATTACACAACATGGACGAGCCAGGTTAAAAGTTAACACTACTTTGACTGTGTCCATCCCATAGAGGAACGTCATTCCGACAGATGATGCCTTGAGGATGAATAAATTATGGAACTATGGGGCCATTTTAATTTTAAATGAACTATTTCTTTAACAATATTTCCACTGTCAAATGTGGAGATCATTAGAACTTAATGTGGTTAAAACTTCAACCTGTAGGATGGAAGTTCTCCAGGAGTTGGATTTAGCTGCCTTGCTCTTAGATCACCTGAATGTCATCCTACTGGTCTTACATTTGAACGTTGCATTTAAAAAAGGTGTTAATAATGCAGTGTAATGTTGACCTTGTTTACCTTTCCTTACCAGTCGCCCCTGCACCCTATACCTGCCTCACCCACCAGTCCACAGTCGGGGCTGGATGGCAGTAACTCCACCTTATCCGGCAGCGCCAGCAGTGGTGTCTCCTCCTTGAGTGAGAGCAACTTCGCCCAGTCCTCCTCTGAGCCTCCAGCTCGAGCCGACACCTTGGACTCGATGCCGAGCAGCCAGGCCTGGACCACAGACACGGAAGAGGCAGAAAGTCCCTATCTCCCCGTACGCTACAGCGTCTCCGAGCCTGAAGTTCTGGACCCTCTCAAGCCCGCTCCATGCCGTAGTCACTCAGCCCCGTTGGGTGTAACCCCAGGGATACCCTCTGATGGCCACCACCACCATCACCTCCATCTCCACCATCACCACCCACACGCAGTGCACATCACCCACCCTCACTACCACCACCACGAGCCTGCACCCGCACTGCCTCCCAAACCTTACCTGAGGGAAGGGTGCATCCCTGAAGAGGACCTGAGGCCAGTTCCGAGGCCTATGCCACGCAAGATCTCCCAGCCTTTGCTTACTACCAAGGAGGAACAGGCCAAGGTGGCCTGGGAACATGGCATTAGTGAAGAATAGACGAAGAATAACCTGGACTGTAAGCTTTGGCATGATTTGTGGCAGGATTTTGGGAAAGTCCCCAAAAATTATTCATTTGAACCTTCTCTGCTCCCAGTATACCCAGTGTAGGTCTTTTCAACCTTTTAAGAAGTGCTTGCCATGTTACAGAGCTTCTACATGCTAGTGAGATGTTTTGTTTTGTTTTGCGCTTAGTGGTTGTTGGTTGGGAGTTGCACAGGATCCTTGAATTCAAACTGCTTGTAGAGCCCAAATTACTTCCTCTCATTGGTATCTTGTTTGGGTTATGCAGATATGATACGTTGTAATGGTGCAAAGAGACTTTCAGATGAACAAGGAAGCACAAATTGAGATTTCGATGGTGTTCAGGTGTATCATGTACTCAGAGATAACACATGCCAATTTTCTAACTTCTAGACATTTCATTGTGGCCGTTGCAATAGTGCTAACTGACATCCTACACTTTCAAAATGAGCTTATTTGTACGGTTAGCACTTAACCTTCGAGCACCAAAAACCTTAGTTTTGCCTTTTTTCTTTCAAAGGAAATCATTATATACTTTAGAAAGAGCTAATCTGAGGTTTGTTAAATAGTGGACACATTTGAAATTTCGTTTGACTTACAATTCACTAGCCCACGTAATGATGAACTTTGAAGATGTTTGAAGATCTGCTCTTGGACGAAGCATGCTCATTTCTCCTGACAGCTTGCTTACATCCCAATCCAACGCAAAAGCCTCAGATGAGGTTTTATTAACGCTGCGGTTGATATAACATGCTAACACTTCATCACAGACCTAAAAACACTTAACAGAACGTCTGCTACCTCCTGCGCGGTTGCGGGAAGCTTCTCTTCAGAGAGAATCTGCACTGATTTGACAGTAAGAGGCTTTTACAATCTTCGTAAAGCCTCATTACACCCACAATATTGTCGTGCTGCGAAAGCAAATCAACCACTCTCAACGCTACTACCCCGTTACGCTAATAACACAACAGCCAAAGCGCTGTTAAATCAAAGCCATTTCACAGATGTCTCCTCACAGTAAAGCGGCTTTTGGTCTCAGCAGGTTCCTTTGGGAATTGATTTCCGTTCCTCTGCGTTGACAGTTTTCATAAAGAAGTATATATTTTTAGATAGAGCTGTTATAAAATTCCAAGACTTTAATATAATTGTATAGTAAAGAAAAATTGCAAAAAGAGTTCGAATAAATACAGCTTAGATTATATCATACAATATATTGCTATGAAAGATTATATCACACATTTTTAAAGGTGAAAAGGTTTCATGGCTGTGTTTTATGTCGTGAGTTGAGTGGCTTACAGCTACTGATGGATGCAAATTCGGTACCTGATGGTGTTTGCATATTTACGTCTAATGACTTGAAAGTTAACGTTATTTAAAAGCTAATTTTTATGTGCAATGTGCATGTTCTCTTCAATAGTGGTGAATATTACCCTGCATCACTTGAAGGGAGGGTCTGGTAGAGATATTGTTTTTATTGTATATCTACACATCTTCATCGTGTCACAATAAACGTAATTAAATCGCATTTCAGATATTGTGTCAGACAGACCAGAATCTGCTGATCAATTATCGACACTTTCAATGGAAATCAAAATTGCACGAAAGTCAACTTTCAACGGAAAGTTAAAATGAAGTCTAGTAACGCCCCGCCCACGGTGAAACATCATTGGTTCAGAATTTTGAGCTACATGATTGTGTTGAACATCATATAAATTGTCGTAAAATTTATTTATATCACTTTTTGTAACAAATTTCACAAATAAAATATCGCAAATTATCACAAGAAACGTAAGTATATCGCATTTAGAGAAACAAATATCTGCTGTCTAATAGTAATGACATTTTCAATGGAAAGCAATAATAAATATCTAGTAAAGCCCTGCCCCCACTGAAACCTCATAGGATTCAAATAAATTTCGCAATTAAAATAATCGCAAATTATCTCAAGAAACGTAATTATAGCACATTTCAAATATTGTGTCACACAGACAAGAATCTGCTTACAGATTGTTGACATTTTCAATGGAAATCAAAAATTGATGTCTAGTAAAGCCCCACCCACAGTGAAATCATAATACATTTTTAATCATAATTTTGTTGAACATCGAATGAATTGTCATAAAGTTAATTATACCACATATTGTAACAAATTTCGCAATTAAAATATCACAAATTATCACTTGAAGCGCATTCAGAAAAACAAATATGCACTGTCCAATAGTAATGACATTTTCAACAGAAAGCAAAAATGAACGTCTAGTAAAGTCCTTATTGGTTCAAAATTTGTATCTATATAATTTTCATCTATATAAACATCAAATAAATTGTCATAAGAAACTTAATTATACCACATTTTGTAGCAAATTTCTCAATTAAATTATCGCAAATGATCACAAGAAACGTAATTATATCGAATTTTAAATATTGTGTCAGACAAGAATCTGCTGACCGATTGTTGACGTTTTTAACGGAAATCAAAAATGCATGTCTAGTAAAGCTCCGACCACAGTGAATTCTCCTTGGATTCTGATCTACATAATTTGGTTGAGCTGGTTGGTTTCTGTCTGAAAGTAAAGACAACAGAAAGTATTTAAAAAAAAGAGTCTAGTTAAGCCCCGCCCACAGTGAAACGGCATTGGTTCAGAATTTTGATCTGCACAAATAACCCCAATATTACCACATTTTGTATCAAAGTTTGCAAATAAAATATCGCAAATTATCACAAGAAACGTAATTACATCGCATTTAGAAAAACAAATATTTGCTGTCTTATAGTAATGACGATTTATAGTAATTTTCCACGAAAAGTAAAAATAAATGTTTAGTAAAGCTCCGCCCACAGTGAACCCTCATTGGTTCAGAATTTTCATCTACATAATTTTGTTGAACATTAAATAGTTTCGTATTGGCTGGGAGTCACACAGAATTTCCATGTTTATTGACAGGCAGAATAAACGTCACTGGAATTTTCGTTAAATTTTTTGAAGTCCACTGTAAACTTTTCTGCCCAATTACTTTGGCAATATATACTCTAACTAATGTTATTTTTTATACTATAATGTGGTTTAATTTGGTTTTTTATCAAATATGTACTTAAGGCTGCTCATGGTATGAACTGTACTTTAACTCCAAATACTTGAACGTATATGAAGGCAAAAAGCAAGTTTTTAGGCACACTTACACATGTTAATGTGTGCTTTTTTTGTAATATGAAGGCTGTATTCTTCATATGTACATTGAGAAACGCATGTTATCTCAATAGCTGATCATCATTGAAGGCTTTTCATGGCCGGAGAAAGCAAATACACGGTCCTAGCGTAAATCCATTACATTAAAACATTATATGTTTTCTCTTCATCAGAATTTACTGTTGGCTTGTACGTGCTTCCTCTTAAAGTAAAACTGTTGGTATGCATTTGTAGATTATTATTTATAATATGCATATATATATATATATATATATATATATATATATATATATATATATATATATATATATATATATAATTTTTTTTTTGCTTTACTAAAATATGAAGACATAAAGTGATGAAGTAGATGTGTTGTGTCTCTCGGGACATAGAAATGCGCTGACTGAAGAGTTATTAATCATTATTTATATGTAAAATAAGTCATATTAAACACCAAGTGATCAGGGAAGGAACTGGAATCTATGCAAAGATCGAGTGTTATATTAGAGAGGGTGTTGAAGTCTATCTGTGACGGCCCATTTTTGTGAATATCCGCACTGATCAACTAATGAAAAGCATTAATATTTATTGTTTTCAGCGTTTCTTATTATGGCTTTCTAGACATTTTGCATGTAAATATGGACTGACGGATACTGTGCGTCTCGTATTCATTCACTAGCTCTAATTTTGCTTGCATAGCTAAGCAAAAAACTACATAAACCTATTATAATCACGAGTCATTAATGCTTTAAATAAAGGTTTTGGCTCATTTGGCACAAGCAACCATGTACAAATCTTTGAGTGTACATATTTTACATGTTTGATATCTCCGCGAAGGTAAGCTGACAGTTTTGGGATTCAGTTTGAGGGTGACGTTTTATTTTTTACATGACAAAAGTTGCCCGGATCAGCGTTTAAAATTCAATACCAGACTTTAGTTCACGTAGACAGCATTTGTGTGGATTGCTAATTAAATATTGGGCTTATTTTCCTGCATTTTGCTGAAATGATTGATGATTTGAATGAGGTTAAATTTAGGTGGGCAAATGGAAAAAACAAACCTTCTATGGTCTGTACATATGAAAAAAACTGAGTTAAAATGGCTACTAAACACTCCTGGCCTGCATTACAGTTCGTACCACACCATGTCTGGCTTTATTTTGTGTATATAATCCTTCAAAAGCTTTGTATTTATATGGTCAAGAGGGACAAATCATGTATAGACTGAGATTAATTGTCTGCCTTGTACTTTCTGATGTAAATGTGTTTTTAAAACTAAACTAAACTGCGACAAGTGAAAAAAAAAAAGAACAAAAAAATCTTTCAATGGCCTAATCACGCGTTATTTTGTGTATTTTGCATTGGAATCTGAAGAGCGTTTTGTTTTACCATGCAGAAATACAAACACCTTTGTACGAGTATTCTCAAAAGTATTTTTTTCTGTATATATTGTGCTAGCATGACTCAATGTGGTGTGGATTTTAGATGTAAATACACTCGGTTTTTTTTTTCCTACTCACTTAACCGCTGTGACGTGTAATTCATTAATAATGCCTAATATTAAAGATAATGTTTTATCAACTGATATTCGCCTTCTTTCCTTACTTGAATGTGTGATTGAAGCAGGTTTTGTGTGTTTGTGTGTGTGTGTGTGTTAATGCAATGACACTAACTGAATCATTCATTTTTCTTCGGCTTAGTCCTTTATTTATTAGTGGGTCACCACAGCGGAATGAACCGCCAACTATTTCAGCTTATGTTTTATACAGTTGCAACCCAATACTGGAAAACACCCATACACACTCATTCACACACACACACACACACACACTCTCTTCCAGCACGGCCAATTTAGTTAATCAATTCCCCTACAGTGCATGTGTTTGGACTGTGAGGGAAACCTGAGCACCCAGAGGAAACCCACGCCAACATGGGGAGAGCATGCAAACTCCACACGGGACTCAAACCAGCAACCTTCTTGCTGTGAGGTGACTGCTAACTACTGCGCCGCCCATGACACTAACTCGGAACAAATATTGTACGCAAATAACAAATAATATTTATATATATTGCGGTTGGAAGGGCATCTGCTGTGTAAAAACGTGCTGGATAAGTTGGCGGTTCATTCCGCGGTGGCGACCCCGGATTTATGAAGGGACTGAGCCGAAAAGAAAGTGAATGAATGAAAAAATAAAATAAGTGTGATAGGTGGAATATTCTGCACAGCATCACAAATAATTCATTTATCCTATAAACACAGTGGCTGTCCTGTATTTAAAAATAGGGATGCTCCGATCAGGAGTTGTGCAGCCGATGTTGAATTTCCATTCCTCGTCATAGTGATCAGCCAGTACTGATTCTGATGCTTCACGCTTTATATAACTTTAACATTGCATAAAGCACATTTTCCCTTTAAGAATGATAAAGTGGAGATCTCTCCTTAATTAAGGGTGTTGATTTTAATATATGTCTGTTTAATGCTTCTTTTAAATATTTACTGTAAGGGTTGAAGCAGCTTTACAGAAAATTAGAGATAAAGCAGATAATACTTTTTTTTTTTAAACATTATGGAAAAATTCAACATGTGTCAATGAAGAAAAAGTTTGTTTGATGCATAAGAAATTAAAAAGCACACCTTTATATCCATTACTTTACTAAAAGAAAATAGGCCTGTAAACGAATGTTTGTTGCAACAACTATATTACAACAAGTTATATTATATTATATATATATATATATATATATATATATATATATATATATATATATATATATATATATATATAAATATATATATATATATATATATATATATATAAAGGTGAAGCAGTGTCGCAGTAGTGCTGTCGCCTCACAGCAAGAAGGCCGCTGGTTCGAACCTCGGCTCATTGTATTACAAACACACACCTTTACACACACACACACATCTTAACACACAAATGGACATGCAACACTTTAGCATACTTTTATTCACAAATAACTATTTATGTCATTCTCTACAGTGTTGCCATTCTCTCCACCCCTACCTAAGGATTAATTACATATTGTAACCTGTGCATGTATTTAATGTTTTACTTTAGAGACTAGCTATGTATTCAGAGTTCACTACAAATGCCAGTATTATGGCTATAGCTATAGTTTTTTTTTTTTTTTGCATGTTAGACTACATTGCTAGTACAGTAGCATACAGCAGCTTGTATACCCTAAATCTCACATTATAATGACAATTTAAAATGTACGCGAGTTCTACACTAAGCCTACTGTTAAGCACAGTGTAGGTACTTGTCAAAAACTGTCAGAAGAAGTGTGAATGGCATCAATATGACCTAGTGTAGGTTAGTATAATGACTTAAAGTATATTTTCTGTTTTCTTCTTACCTCCTCTATGGCGCTACTGTCCTCCAATGCATTTGACGAATTTAAAATTTTCGAAAATATTTCAGATAGCTTCATGCATTTGGCAGCGTCTGATTTTAGAGCCCTTTTTTTTGCTTTTTCTGAGCTTTTTGGTAGCCAAGCCAGCCAGCCATCACAGATTGGGCCAAATGCGTAACATTTACTATTAATATTACTATTATTACCATCATCATCGTCATCATAATATTCACATCTTGCTTGGGATAAAAGCTTCCTGCATGTAAAAACAATACATATAAAAAAAATAATAATAATAAAAAAAAACTGACCGGCCCACATTTGAAAAATGGTCCAGTCCTTCTGGCACTTGCAAGAATTCCCAGATGGCCAGTCCGCCCCTGTGCCCGTAAACAAACACTTGTGATTGGTTCTTGAGATCGGCCAGATTGGGGAGTACCGATTGAGTCATGAAATGTAATTATTGCCCGATACCAATCTCCAGCTGATCAATCGGAGCATCCCTATTAAAAACTAATGTTTAATTTTTAGAATAAGCTGAATAAAGGCAACTTACAATTAATAACCAGGATGGGGGGGATTCTTACGAAATTCCTGATTCTTACGAAAATTAATCATGGCTTTACTACAGGCCCGGATTGGCTAATCGGGAGGACCGGGAGAATTCCCGGTGGGCCGGTCCGTTTTTTGGCCGCGAGGGCCGGTGTCCCTAGTTCCAGAATCGGTTGCTCTCAGCAGTCACACTTTTTAAAAATAATTTATTTATTTACTTGACCACAGCCTTCTTATTCATTTTTTTACCGCAGCTCTGCTCTTTTTATCTATTTTCTCGTAGCCTCTTGAGCAGGATGCCTGCAGGTTAATGATGATATAACTAGATAAGTCACCATTAAACGTACAGTTGTTGTGGTACAGTCGTTAGTACGTTAGATTATGACGCAGCCAACCTGGGTTCGGTCCTTGTCTGAGTAACAATTTTTTTTTTTTTTCATTTTTATTGTTAAGACATAATACTGTAAGGGTTGTTGAACATTTGAAGTTCTAAAAGAGCTGTTTTCTCAAAAAAAGACGTAATAGTGTAATTAGAAACTGAATTGGAAATAACCTTATTTTAATATAGTCAGTGGTCCGGTGGGCCGGTCTGAGGCTTGAAACTCCAGGGCTGAAAAAGAGTCCCACTCCGGCCCTGCTTTACAACAAATAGTAATAGTACTACAAAAAGCATTAGTAATGGTTATTATGGTAGTTAAATCAAAGTAACGCCAAACTAACCAGTTTACTGTGGTGTTTCTTGTAAAACACAAATGCTAATTAATGTGCCAATTAAACGTTAGCTAGAGTTTTACTGCAATAATACCATGGTTGTCATGAGGTAAGCAAAGAATGTCCTAAAGTGTTATTATAGTTTGTGTTTTTGGTATGAACAGTCCTAAAGTAACGCTAATTGTGCTTTATGTTCAATCATTGTTTAATAACTCTTAACGTTACCTAACTGAAGACCACAGGTGTGTTGAGTTTTAGCAAAAAGAATGATGACTTTTCTGCAAATAACTCTCAGATTTTGAAACATTGCCTAAAGTTATGTGACTGAAAAATCACAGTCAAGCAAAATAAGCCTCCCAAAATTGTCTTTTTTATAACATTTATCGGCGTCCGTTAAGTTCCCAAGGGATTTTCTGTGAATTTACATGATACGAAAGACTACAAAAATGGCGTTCGCACAACACGTCAACAAGCCGTCACTGTGGAAAGTTCACCCTCACAACCAATCAGAGGCCGCCAACTGGCCTCACTCCCTGGATGAGCTTCGCACACCCATTCAGAAAAGAGTGCGTGTAGCGACGTCACCAGCCAGCCAATAGACACGTGCAGAGTGTAACGCCAACCAATCAGATGCGCGAGTGGGCGGGAACTTTCACTAGGAAGCGCCGTTGAAGCGGTAACGTTGCGTGTTGTCGAGCCGGTATCATTAGTGGTCGTTCAGATACTAGAATAGCGCTTTTCACATCGTATTTAACTGGTTTGACGCGTTTATCTGAGCTTAGAATGTTATATTTAAGTGGACTTTCTGTGGCATTGGCTCTCGCGCTGGTTCCGAGCTGCAGTGATGCTTTGAAAGATGGAGAGTGTGAAGGTGAGTTAGTTTAACATGTTCATAGTGTAAAACACATGTAAATGATGCACATTTCCTGTCAGGAGAGTCAACCCACATCTTCATTGTGTGGTATATGGCTAGTTACGTTTAAGTTTTCTTTAAATTCTTTAATCATTGCATCTTTAAGATTTATTAATGTATTTTATTAACTGTATAATGTGACGTCAGAACTTTGTAGTTGCTATTTTATGTTTGTAGTAATATTTTTATGTTTATATTTACTCATATTTTGTTCATTTCTTCGTATTAGTATTGCGAATTAAGCATTGATGCCACCATACGTTTTACTTTCACTGACAAATTGTGAACCCTTAAATATTATACTGTAAGCAATGGATTACAATGCAGGTTATTATCAAATATAATCATATCAGAATTAAAATTTACTGTGTATGGTCTTGATGTACGTTATTATTCTTTATGTGCACTGATGAGATGAACTTGAATGATGCAACATATGACATTTTCTATTGGCTGACTGCATGAATGTGATAAATGCAACCCGTTGGTGCTATTTAATAAGCTTTAATTGGAAAATAAAACTTTATTATGATAATTTATATTTTATAAGATTCAGAAAAGTACAAAACTTTGAGTTAGGCGGTCCAGAAAAACAGCATGAAAAAGTTGTTTACAGATACATTTTCTTCATGACAAAAAAAAATATTTATATATATATATATATATATATATATATATATATATATATATATATATATATATATATATATATATTTATTTATATTTATTTATATTTTAAGTGTGTGTGTGTGTGTACACACATATACATACTCACTGGCCACTTTATTAGGTACACTTTACTAGTACCGGGTTGGACCCCCTTTTGCCTTCAGAACTGCCTTAATCCTTCGTGGGATAGATTCCTCCGAGCTTTTGCTCCATATTGACATGATAGCATCATGCAGTTGCTGCAGATTTGTTGGCTGCACAATAATGCCAATCTCCCGTTCCACCACATCCCAAAGGTGCTCTATTGGAATGAGATCTGGTGACTGTGGAGGCCATTTGAGTACAGTGAACATGTTCAAGAAACTAGTCTGAGAAGATTGGCGCTTTATGACATCATCAGCAGTTTCTGAAATACTCAGACCAGCCGGTCTGGCACCAACAACCATGCCACGTTCAAAGTCACTTAAATCCCCTTTCTTCCCTATTCTGATGCTCGCTTTGAACTGCAGCAGATCATTTTAACCATGTCTGCATACCTAAATCTGCGGTCACACTGCACTTTTCTCCCATAGACATCCAGTCATACGCACGTAAATGTGTACGAACAGAAAAATAGGCTCATGCAGCAAGTTTCGCTGCGTTGGAAAGTTTTATTTTGGTGAACTCTGACCTGCGAAATCGCATCATATGATTGCGTGAGACTAATCGAAGATCAAAACATGACCTCACTGTACAGATATTTAAAATATGGAGCAATCGCTTGCTTTTTTAATGTGTAATCATCTTATTTAATCCCGCCCCTTTTCCAGCGCTGTACAACAGCAAGTTCAAACTCTAGTGTGACCGCTGCTGATTAGAAATTGGCGTAATTAAGCAGTTGGACTGGTATACCCAAGTTGTGTGTGTGTGTGTGTATATACATATATATGCACACACACACACACACACACACACACAAAATGCAATTAATTATTGCATTTAATGCATTTAATTCTTCTTTTTAATAATTTTTTTTTCTCCTGGTTTTTATGGGATGATTAAGAGATCATTAAACCACGTAGATTAAATTTAAGACTTAAAGGGACTAATAATATTGACCTTAAAATGGTGTTTACATTTTTTTTTAATTCTAGCCGAAATGAAACAAATAGGACTTTCTCCATAATAAAAAATCCATCTATCTAATTTATTTATCATTATTGTCATACAAGCACCACCAGAGGGTTAATGGATTAATATGACTGTATATAAGCAACAAAGCTTTACAAATCTTTGCTTTTCAGTCTGTGTGGGTTTCCTCCAGCGGCTTTACCAGACGATACAAGAAAACAACGTCAAGTTTGACAGCGACTCAATTGAAAAGGCTCTTCTAAAATCGTGTAAAGACGCCAAAGGGAAAGAAAACCGATTTGTAAGTACCCGTCCATGAATGATGTATGTTTTAGGGCAAGAGTGTCCAAACTCGGTCTTGGAGGGCCGGTGTCCTGGAGAGTTTATCTCCAACCCTAATCAAACACACCTGAGCCAGCTAATCAAGCTCTTACGAGATATATTAGAACAGGAGTGCCCAAACTCGGTCCTGGAGGGCCGGTGTCCTGGAAAGTTTCGCTCCAGCCTTAATCTAACACACCTGAACAAGCTAATCAAGCTCTTTCTTTGTATACTAGAAACATCTTGGCAGGTGTGTTGAAGCAAGGTGGAGCTAAACTTTGCAGGACACCGGCCCTCCAGGACTGAGTTTGGACACCCCTGGATTAGGGTGTTCACATTTGTTTGAAGTATGCTTTTAGGAGTGTCGCCAACACAACCTGTTAGTTGCTCATACATAGCAGGACCGTTTTTTTTTATTTATACTTCCTTTTAATCAGTTTTTATGTTCACTCAGTGTTATTATATAGGTGCAACGAGTGATGCAGCAACAAAGATTACCAATGAAGTTTCCAAACCAATGAGTTACCATGTGCCAGTGGAAAAGATCTGCGAAAAACTCAAAAAGAAGGACAGTCAAATCTGTGAACTCAAATACGGTGAGTTGTTTGCATAGAAAGATACTTTCCTCTGATTAATGCATTGCTTCTGCCTCGTAGTTGACTAATACAAATGTGTAACCAAATCATTTCCATCCATCTGTTTAAGCTTCCTACCTAGATTGTGTTGACTTGTATAGTCTATAATAATTGTACACTACCTGACTAAAGTATTTGATCCCAGTTGTAAGAGCAACACATAACTTGACTTCCAGTTGAGCTTAAAGTGTCAGAAGGTGGATTTCTCTGCTCAATCATCTGTTGAGCTGCATCCCACTCATCACAAATACTGCAGAAGACCTACTGGAACTCGCGTGGTGCCAAGATTTTCACAAAAATCTTTAAGTTTGGTGAAGGAGAAATTATGGTTTGGGGTTCCATTCAGTATGGGGGCGTGCGAGAGATCTGCAGAGTGGATGGCAACATCAACAGCCTGAGCTATCAAGACATTTGTGCTGCCCATTACATTACGAACCACAGGAGAGGGCAAATTCTTCAGCAGGCTAGCGCTCCTTCTCATACTTCAGCCTCCACATCAAAGCTCCTGAAAGCCAGCACAGTCAACAGACATGAACATTTTTGAGCATGTCTGGGGTAAGATGGTGGAGGCATTGAAGATGAACACAAAGACTCTTGATGAACTCTGGGAGTCCTGCAGGAATGCTTTCTTTGCCATTCCAGATGACTTTATTAATAAGTGATTTGAGTCATTGCAGAGATGTATGAATGCAGTCCTCCAAGCTCATGATGGAGTCAGACACAATATTCATTCTGTCTCCACTGCAGCAGCACTTTATCTGCTATACTGTACATTATTTCTGTTCACTGACAAGTGTTGTCTAAGCAAAGTCAGACCTTACTGTCCTAATGAAATCAATCAAAATCAAAACATATTTTATTGTGCTCAAATAAGCGTTATGTAGACGCCTTTGCCTTTCATATGACACCTTGACACCAAATCATCAACTAGAATTCAACTTATTAATTGTTGCTACTAACACTTGGATAGGCCACAAGACTGTTGTCAGGTAGTGTATATATTCTTTCCAAATACATCTATATATATATATATATATATATGAGCAATTCCACGCAAGTGTCAACCTTGCTATGAAAAATTTTTCATCAAAATATTATGGAAACCGTTTTGTTTTTTAGGGGGTAAGGAAGTATTTTACAGTAATTTGAAAACATTGACAGAGTCATTTTTTTGAGCGTTTCTAAACTATAATATTTGATTTACCAAAGTCGCACTAGTGGCAATTTCATATCTGACTTCGATAACAGAGATGACACATCCATAATGAAACCTTTTCCTCATAAATGTAAAAATATTAAATAAAATAAAGTCAACCATTGTTGTTCTATAGAGAGACCACTTTTGTCCTTTTTGATTATCATCATTTCATTTTGGTTGTGCAGTTTAATTCACAGTATTTCAACAAAGTAAACCCGCAGACTTTTTATTTTTGTCACATCCATAACGCACGTTTATTTTCCTCATTTAAAATATAAAACATGTTTACAGACTGATATTTGTCTGGTCCCTTAACTCAATGGTCAGTCATTCTGGAAAATTTAAACCGATGCTTCATAGACTCTTTCTGTGAATTTGTGCCGAGTTTTTACTGCAAATCTCACATCCATAATGCAGGAATTGCTCGTATGCTGTGTGTGTATATATATTTATAGGGTGTCCGCTTGGTCTTAAAAAGTATTAAAAGTTGATTTAGCGATTGAGAAAATGAAGGCCCTTAAAAGGTGTTAAGTCTTAATAGTGTTTTACGAGGTCTTAAATTTATGTTCAAGTGTTGTCCAAAGTGTTTGAGTCCAAAAAAGCATGTATTTATTGTCTTCCTAATTTTAACAACAGCATGCCCGATCTATGAGATTGGTTCGGGCCGGCGCATCCGGCCAAGCTCCTCCGTCCTGGTGATTTCACCTAATTTGCCTTTTTAAAGACATGTGACGATCTCCACATGTAGTGAAACCATGAATCAGATGGCTAAATTGAAAAATTTACGTTTGCGTACTTCTGGTTGGAGAAAGATGAGTTTAGACAGTGGCTGAAGCCCGTCGCTGGAAACAACCATGAGGCCCAGCCAGTTGTCTATTGCCAGTTATTATGCACCACCAGCCACACCACTCCCCAACATGACAGCTGAACTTGTCAAAACAGCTATGACAGCAACTAACTGTTTATTAACCACTGTTCGTTAAGGTAAAGGTTTGATACGGATTAGAACTTGAAGTGGCAATGAGGTCTTGAAATATTCTGAAGAAGGTCTTTAAAAAGTCTTAAAAAGGTATTGAAATTACCTTTAGGATTCCTGCACATCCTGTTAAACTATCTTTTGAGGTTTTAGGAGCAGCATGTGCAATGTTTTACTCCCTATCTAAAAAAATCTACCTACCTTTTTTTTTTTTATTTAAAATAAAACAGATCCAAATAAGTAATGAGGCTGTATATTAAATTAACTTTTCCCACCGAGATTTGAGTTTGAAATGAATGTCTGCCAGCTGATATCCATTACATGCTGCTGTTTTTCCCCTTCCGTCCTCTAGATAAACAAGTTGACTTGAGCTCCGTCGACCTTAAGAAGCTGAAAGTGAAAGATCTGAAGAAAATTTTGGAAGAATGGGGCGAGTCCTGCAAAGGATGCGTGGAGAAATCTGACTTCATCCGCAAAATCAATGAGCTGATGCCCAAGTATGCACCCAGCGCAGCCAAGGCACGGACAGATCTGTAAACTCGCAGGGACTGAGGGAGTGGCCTGAGGCGTTTAGGGTGGAGATTTGGCGCTGTGCAGCTTGACTGAGCACCTAACAGCGGGGCTTGCATTGTGTTGTCACTTTACCATGTTCTCCAGGGGTAAACAAACATGACTCGCACTTCCACAAACACACAGCATTTAATTTATGTTCTGAGTTATGATATCCAACACAAGAGAAATGCCTCCTGACGTTATGGGAAACATGTTCGACACACTTTGCCTAGTTTGATTGACATTTTCTTTCCTTTTTTATTTTGGCTTTCTTAGTTTGACTCATTATATGAGCTGTAATGAGTCTCGTCTTCAGAACATTGGGTCAGTTTGACTGGACTTCTTTGCTGTAAAATGTTTAATACAATTATACTGTCTTTTTCATTAAAATGGGAAAAAGCCAATTTGCTCTTTTTATTTTTCTAGTTGGTGTTTGTATCTATCATCTTTTTTTATTTATTTTTTTGTCAAATTTAAATATTTCCATCAGGGATTAGCATTTTATTTGATCATTTACAGCTATTGGGGAAACATAATGACCATTGATAATGATAATGATATTGGATTTTTTTAGACATGGGTTTAAGTAAAACGTTACTATTATTTATTTTATTTCCAGAAAATGACAATTGTTCATAATAAATGATTGCATTTGTTGTGACTGAAGATCAGGGTTATTTCATCTTGCATAAAAACATTCTAAAAGCATGTCAACAGTAGTTTACAGCATATAGCAAGTTGCATTTTACTCAAACATAACGACTATACATCATAAATGTTGTGTAAATTATAATTTCAGCTCCTCGTTTTTCCCCACAGCTGTACATGATATCTAGCTTCAACATGTTATGATTTCTATGGTTTAGTGCAACAGTCATTGCATGTGTTTGTATGTCATATTACATATTTTGATACATTAAATACGTTTATGCACAGCTTTTGGATCGTTATATGCATTTTCTTTAATTTAACAGTTGTGATAAATATATAGTATTGTCTGTGCTATTAGCTGTACACTGCGCAGTGTGTGATATATAGCTAACCAAACTACATATTATGCGATTTATTGATATATGCAAAGCGTTTTATAGTAAATAGTAAACCTATACAGTACAGTAGTAAAACAAACCAGCTCTCACAGAGTGAGACTTGCATTATTGAGAGGAAAGTGAATGTATTTCGCTGCCAGAGCTTTATTTTTAGTGTCAGTATTGATTTTCCATCATTGTAGCGTGAGGCGATGCGCTCTGACGTCAGCGGAATCTCCTCCCACTCGCGGAGCGCGCACATTCCTTTTGTCCAAGATGGCGGAATAGATGCAGCCGAGGCGACGCTAATGTTTTTCCTTTTATTTTTATCCGTGAAACTCAGCATCCAGGCGAGCGTGCTTCCGTGCACACGTTAGCTAAAGTCTTCCACACGGATGTGCAAGCTCTCTCGGAGCCGTGAGATTCCACCTCGGAGCTGATTTTATATTTCTTTGCCAGCGGAGCATCACTGGATAATGAAGCGGCAGGCCGAACGCGACGCGAGTCCGTCCAGAACGCTCGCCAAACGCGTCCGCGAGCGCGACCGAGAGCGCGACCCGAACCCGCCGCTCGCGCTGCTGCTCGCCGAAAGCCGAAACTACCACAAGCGGAGCCGCAGTCGCGAGCGGGAGAAACCGCGGGTCCGCGAGGAGAGAGAGAGTCTGCATCACCGGGCGCATCACGAGCTCGGTCTGCTGGGACGGGCTCCCCTCAGAACCACAGCGGTCCTGCCCAAAGGTAAGACCCCATCCGCTGAAACGGTGGGCGCACGCCTCGAATACAAGACACTACTAATAAGCAACCTCGGATCTCAGCTCTCCGATGAGCATGTAGAGGACGGACTGTTTCATGAGTTCAAAAAGTTTGGGGATGTGAGCGTCAAGCTGTCCCACACACCAGAACTGGGTCGAATTGCGTATGTAAACTTCAGACACACGGAGCACGCGCGGGAAGCTCGTCATGCCAAAACCAGGCTGGTGCTTTACGACCGTCCGCTGAAAGTGGAGCCCATGTACATGCGGCGGCGCAGCGTCACTCCCCCAGATGTGAGCTATGTGTCTCTGCACAGCGCCGCGTACACATACAGACAGCGCTCCCTGTCTCCGGGGGCCGGGAGCAGCGCCCTGAGGGAAGTAAGGCCCAGGCATTATGTAGAGGGCATGGCGCTCAGCAGGGACAGGGTTTTGGACTATTACACAGCCCTGGAGGAGAGGACCCGTGCCTATGCTTATCAGCTTCCCGAGGAGGACTTAAAGCCAGAGGATGATCAGAGAGCCACACGGAATCTGTTTATCGGCAATTTGGATCATAATATTACTGAGGTGGAACTACGGCAGGGCTTTGACAAGTACGGGATTATTGAGGAAGTGGTCATCAAGCGGCCAGCACGTGGACAAGGAGGTGCTTATGCTTTTCTTAAATTTCAGAACTTGGATATGGCTCACCGGGCCAAAGTGGCCATGCAGGGCCGTATGATTAATGGCAACCCGATTAAGATCGGATATGGGAAAGCTAATCCCACAACCCGGCTCTGGGTGGGCGGACTTGGTCCGAATACATCGCTGGCCGCTTTAGCACGTGAGTTTGACCGCTTTGGGAGTATTCGCACCATAGACTATGTGAAAGGGGATAATTTTGCTTACATTCATTATGAGAGCCTGGATGCAGCGCAGGCTGCTTGTGCACAAATGCGTGGCTTCCCTCTGGGCGGCCCGAGCCGCAGGCTGCGTGTGGATTTTGCTAAAGCCGAGGAGACGAGAGCGTACCCCCAACAATACCAGCCCCCTTTGCTTCCACCTCCACATTATGATCTTCTCCCTGAAAGTTACGCACGCCACCGCAGCCTGGAGCGCGAGCTGAGAGCCAGGGCTCGCTCTCCCTCACACCCTCTCTTCGCGGAGCGAGAAAGAGACCGCCTCTCTGAACGGGACTGGAGTCCCCCAAAAGGACTAGAGCGAAGGGCAAACCCGGAGGCGTTTGGCCGGGTCAGACAGCGCAGCCGCAGTCGGAGCCGCAGCAGAGAGCGCTGGCTAAAAGAGCGAGACCTAGAGCGCGGCCTTGGGAAGAACTGGGAGGAGCGCCGCAAGCGAAGGAGCCTCAGCCCCATAGAGCGTCCAGCAGAGGAGCGCGGGAGGTCTAAGCTCCGAGCAGGAGCGCCATCCACTCCTGAAGACAGCCCAGACCGAGGCCGCGGCCGCCTGCCAGACTCCACCTCTGAACCCCTGGACCACACACCTGACATCAGCAGACACTCCAGCGACGAGCGTCCCGCACACGACGAGCCTCCGCATCAGAGGAAGGACGAGCGCGATCGCAACCACCGCAAAAGCGAGACTGACCCTGACTCTCAAACAGACAAGTCCAAAACAGACTCCAAAAAGCCCAGCACGCTCTCCGAATACGCTCAATCGCTGAGCCGCGTCTGGCACGGCTCCCTAGTCCTAAAAAACAGCAGCTTCCCCACAAACATGCACATGCTGGAGGGGGGCGTGAGCTTCCTCCACTCCCTCATGAGGGACAACCAAGCAGGCGGGTCCAAGATCACACAGCTCAAAATCGCTCAGCGGCTGAGGCTGGATCAGCCCAAACTGGACGAGGTGACACGCCGCATTAAGCTAGGCAGTCCCGATGGATATGCAGTCCTCCTGGCCGTACAGGGACCCATGGACCGCGACGCCCCTCCTCCTGAACCAGGCCTTCAGCAGCGCCTTCTCCGAAACCTGGTGACTTACCTCAGGAACAAGCAAGCAGCAGGAGTCATCGGCCTGCCCCTCGGCGGGCCCAAGGAGCGGGAGATGGGGGGCATGCTCTACGCCTTCCCGCCCTGTGACTTCTCCCAGCAGTACCTGCAGACCGCTCTGAAGACTGTAGGGAAGCTGGAGGAGGAGCACCTGGTCATAGTGGTAGTCAGAGACTCCCCTTAATCCACAGATTTTAAAGCCCTCTATGAGTTTAGGAGGGAGGTTTTCACTTTAATACTTCCACACATCCACTTGATCTGAAAATGCTTCAGGAAACTGAGCAGCACCTACAGAGCCGTTTTATAAGCTGAGTTTTCTGCCAAGAGGGGTTTGCAGCAGTGTTCAGAGCTCTTTCCACATGACTCTCCGTTTTAAATACAGTGTTTTATATAGATGGGCATGCACAGCCCAGTTTGACTGATGTTCAGCTCTGTTGGTTAATCTGCTTTTAACCGGGCCTCATGTTCATAACTGGAGCAGAATGAGTGTACAAATCAAATGCATTCCGCTCATGTTTCATTGACCAGTGTGTTAAAGGGACAGTGAAACCAGAAATGGACATCACCTCATCATTTACTCTCTCACTCGTGTGCACTGCAAAAAATGCGTTTCTTACTTAGAGTTTTTGTCTTGTTTCTAGTCCAAATATCTACAAATTCTTAAATCAAGAAGCATTTTCTAGACAAGCAAAACATAGTGTCTTGTTTTAAGAAATAATATGCCAAAATGAAGTGAGTTTTTCCTCAAATTAAGCTAAATAATCTGCCAGTGGGGTAAGCAAGATCATCTTATCACAAATCGAAAAAGTAGATTGTTTTGCTTACCCCATTGGCAGATTATTTAGCTTGATTTAAGGAAAAACTACGGAACCCTAGAAGAGACATAGTTGAGGAGAAAAAAAATTGGGTAAAAGAAAAAAAATAGGTGGGAGGAAAATATATATTTCTAAGTTTTTGCGTTCTCTCGCAAAGATGTTTTGCGTTCCCTCGCAAAGTTTTGCGTTCCCTTGCAAAGATGTTTTGCGTTCCCTCGCAAAGTTTTGCGTTCCCTCGCAAAGATGTTTTGCGTTCCCTCGCAAAGTTTTGCGTTCCCTCGCAAAGATGTTTTGCGTTCCCTCGCAAAGATGTTTTGCGTTCCCTCGCAAAGTTTTGCGTTATCTCTCAAAGATGTTTTGCGTTCCCTCTCAAAGATGTTTTGTGTTCCCTTGCAAAGATGTTTCGTGTTCCCTCGCAAAACTGTTTCTCCACAAACACTTCCTGTTCACTTCACTCATGTAAACCCTCCCGTTTTTGCCGAAATTCTCCCATATTTTACCATTCTACCCCACTTTCTTTACATTAAATCTGTGCGTCGATCGTCGCCTTTCACTTTGCAACCTGTGAACCAGCGAATGCATGTATAAGCGCTGACTGACAGACGTGCTTAGTACAATAAACTCTTTTGTTTGATAACAGAAGTGTCACTTTAAATGGCCTGCACAGACGCTGATCTGGGTTCAGTTTATTGTATGGAGCGCATCTGTCAGTCAGCGCTTATACATGCATTCACTGGTTCAGAGGTAGCATGTGAAAGGCAACGATCGACGCACAGTAAAGAAAGTGGGATATAACGGTAAAATACGGGAGGATTTCGGCAAAAACGGATAGGTTAACGTGAGTGAAGTGAACAGGAAGTGTTTGTGGAGAAATAGTTTTGCGAGGGAACGCAAAACTTTGCGAGAGAATGCAAAAATTTAGAAATATATATTTTCCTCCCACCCATTTTTTTCTTTCACTCATTTTTTTTTTCAGCACTACGTCCCTTCCGGGGTTCCATAAAAAAACTCACATCATTTTGGCATATTATTTCTTAAAACAAGACAATATGTTTTGCTTGTCTAGAAAATGCTTCTTGATTTAAGAATTTGTAGATATTTGGACTAGAAACAAGACAAAAACTCTAAGTAGAAAACCCTTTTTTGCTGCGTGGTTTTAAACACGTGTGAGTGTTCTGCTGAACACAAAAGAAGATATTTCGAAGAATGCTGGTTGCCAGTGACTTTTAAACTAGGGGAAATACTACGGAAGTATCAGCATTCTTCGAAACATCTTTTGTGTTCAGCAGAAGAAATAAAATCGATTTTAAACAAGTGAGGAGTAAGTGAATCTTCATTTTTGGTTGAGCTTTCTCTTTCCTGTTGTGCTGCACATTCAGCAACGCGTCTTCCACACGTGTGTTTGTGACGTCTGTCTGTTTCACGGTTATTTTCATAGAGATATATCAGGCTCAGCATCATAACTAATCACATCTACCTCTTTAGTCATGTAACACGTGTCCGGTATGTCTTACAAAATGAAGAGCGTCTGGAATATGCATCACTACCCAGAAGGTGCACGATCGAATACTGTACTAATCCACACACTAAACATTACGAACACTACAGCTGAGGGTTGTGTACACGTGAATGTCTTGTTAAGCCTTCTCTGGTCTCCGACTGCCCTCCACTGAGTGACTTTAGTCATTCGAACCCGATGATGAATGCAGATTTTGTACTCTGAAATGTCCGTGATCATGTGTTATTTGCAGATTGGAGTCCTCCTGCCAACACTACAACACTTTGCACTGAGCTCTCGTCTTATTCTCACGTTGTTTATGGCTCTGTTTCATCACTCCTCTTTTGTATTCTGTTGTTTTATAGTCCGTGCGCTAAACATGTATGACGTATATATAAGAGTAAACATTTCATGTGCTTGTTTTTAAACCGAATCCTCTCGTCTTTATTTACACGCATGCCTGTGTTTGCTGATGTGAAACTGAACGACCGACAACTGGGATTTATTTATTTATTGTAACCCGGTCTCCATGGTTACCTCTCCATCTCAATCCTTTAAAAACAAGTGGTGAAGGTTAAAGTGGTAACCAGGCAACCACATCCGTCATTTAATAAGTGAGTTCAAATCAGGCCTTGCCGTGAAATGGCATTTAGTGACCGCTAGGTGGTGCTGCTCTCAAAGGAAAGCAGCCGTGTTAACTTGGCATGCTAGTTCCTGCTGTGCTGGTGGGAAGCTGCTTGAGGGAAAGCAGTCGGTGCGGTGCATATTAAACGCTTGCTGAGACATGCTGTCGCAGTTTCACTGACTCCAGAGCAGTCTTCGTTTAACTTCACCCTGCCGTTCTATGCTAATGAAGGTGCATTTATGCTGCGATGGGGGGAAAAAAAGACGAATTTCTCTCATTTTCTGCATGTGCTGGACTCACGTGTTTGAGTGAAATGTTAAAATTAGTTTTAAGGTCACGCAATATTTATTTCAGGCTTTAATTATGTAATTTTAGGCATTTAATAGTATTATTGTTATTGACAGATAATAATGAATGATAAATAATAACAAATTAATTCTACCATATATTAATTTCTTAAAATATTATATTAAATCATTTTCTTTTCAGCTTTGTCCCTTTATTCATCAAGGGTCAACACAGGAATAAACCAACAACTT